CACTACTGTCCAAATTTGTTTTTAATAGCCTCATATTCGATTGCTCGATTTATCATATCCCACAATTCATCCGGATGCAATAAAATATCATAATACTATGCATCTCATTAAATCGATAATCATAAGTTATATTGACTAAAAAACCGCAAAATCCCGACACTCCGGCAATTACTTTATTCTACACAAGTGAAAAAAGCAAGGAGTTGCCTCCCGGCAAATTGTTAAAATGATTTGAGCAAAAGCAATTTTACTGTGTTTCTTGGAAATCAACCCAAAAAAGACTCTAACAATAAAAATGATAATATTTACTCAGGCAAAAAGAGCTGCAGTTATATTGAAAATTAAAAAGAATTTAGTCTAAAGGATATTCCAATTTCAACGGGGAAAAAATGAAGGAATATAGCGATAAACGAATGAGAACTTTGAAGAAATGAAGGAATTAAAAACAAACACGAAATAGCTCATGTAAATTCAAGATTTTTCGATCAGAATAGATTAAAGGGAACATATGAATGAGAATTATTGTAGAAAAATAAATTAAAAATTTTTAAATAAAAAGTGGGAAAAATGAAAAGTATAAGCACACATTACAAATGATAGCACATACGGTTGAAGGAATGCAGGAAAATTTTAAATCCTTGCAAAATTAAAAACCACAGAAGATTCCAGAAAATAGCACAATATTGGGAAAAAATTGCAACTTTATAGCTACTATGGTCCATGAAACTTTGAAAAAAAGTTTTCCAGAGATTCTGGAATCTAGCAGACTTCAACTCAAGAAATTCACGTTGCTTTGAAGAAAAAAAGAAATGAATAATATATTTTTCATGAAGCAATGAACATAAAAGAATTATGCAACAATTTAGCAAACAGTCTCAGCAATTAACACGAACTAAAAATAGAATCCAGAAAATTTGGATATTTGAAATTGAAAAAAAAGCCAGCACTCCACTGCAGTTTAATGACTCTTCTTATTATCCATATCACTGGTATGCCCACAATACAGTTTACACTTTATAAAATTTATAGTTCTAAAATTCCATACATTCAAGAACTCTTATTTCATCTGTTTCTGACGCCTGATTTTAATTTTAAGCCTGTTCTTTTCCAATGCAAGGAAATATATGCTCAGCAGAGATGAAAGTCCACAGAATATCAAAAATAAATCTCTTGAACAAATCATTATCTAGCAATCCCAAAGAAAGCTATGATTCCCATTTCTATTATAAAATACGTACCAGCTAATGAAATGAAACACCTTTAAGTTCACATAATACAACAACAGATTTAAATAACTATTTTGGATATCTGACAACAAAAATCCATGTAGAACAGCAGACTGATTGCATTACTTTTCAACAGAATATGACAATTCAAAAGCAAAAGAAAGAAGAAAAACAAGACATAAACCATTTTAAATAGCAATGAAATTTGAAGATTATCAGATAAAAATGATTTACTGTTTAAAACATTTTCTTCTGCTATTATTCCTAGAGAATTATGAGTTTACTGCCTTCAGTAAACTTCATCTCCGTTTTCCACCTCATTCTCGTCCGGCGGCGCAAATCCTTCTTCCGTTTCATACAATATCTTTAAATTTCATAGAATAAGTTCGAAAGGAAACAAAAAAAATTTTTTTTATAAGTGTTAAATTTATAAAAAACAATCCTTATAGAAAGGTCTAAACTATCTATTTTAAGCAATTCACATCATTAAAATTATTTACAGCTAAAATTTCACTGCCAATGTCAGGTTTCCAGAACCAGTATCAGCTGCAGTAGGGCATATAATGGTATGGAAAAGCGCTAAGTTTCATTTATCAGTACAAACTCTTAAGGTATATATACGAAGAATCAGTTTTTTTCTTTGTAACCATAGTGACGGGACTGTATACGAGAACATCAGGCAAAAGAAATGAAAGTTGCATAAAACAATTTAAACAAAGTAAAATTATTGTTAATCTCATAATCAAACTGATGAAAAAAAAAGAAACATATACCGCAAGCACACGAGCTACATCAACAGTTCCAATTTGTTCATTATCTTGACATATCACTTCAATTTGCCGCAGTTTCGAAAAATAAAAGTCACGTTCCTAGAAATTAGAAGTATGGAAATAAACAAATGATATTGCTAACTAGCGCAAGCATATAAATATCATTTCAACTACAGTATCACTTTTCAACTACAGTATACAGTATCATGACTAAAACTCATGTATAGCCAACGAAATATTTTTAAATAATTTCCTAACAGTTATGTAATCCTCCTCCAACACCCTGAAATATAACAAAAATTAACAGCACAACTGCCAACCTTTTCAAGACTGACTATAACATTATCACCTTCAACTATCTGTTCCTTGGCTTCTTCCAATTCGCGTTTTAAATTCGCGATCATCTGTTAAAATGGAATACATGAACGAAAGCACTTCCAAAAAGATAGAAATTTAATTAGCGATTTATTATCAGCCAATACTACATTCAAAAACATGATCTGATACAATAATTTCCAATGCAATAATAAATGCATCAGATAAGTTTCATTCATTTTCAATTCTTTCAGTTCTTGACTCTTTTGTAGTTCATAAAATTTCACTACCGAGAAATAATTTCAAATGACTTTGATAAATACCTGATGATCTACTGTGGGCTGTGCGGAGTGCGCAGTAGTTCGCGCAGTGGCAGCCGCAGCAGGCGGTGCAGCTGTTCGAGTTGGATTAACTTTTCCTCCAACAGCTGGTGCTTTTCGTACTTCACCTTTATTCATGGAAGCGTTCGATGTCGAAAGAGTGGATTTCCTGTTTGCAAAATTTCACTCTAAGCTAATTATGCATGCAATTGTGCAGAAAATTCATAATTCAATCATAATCTGTTTTTTCCATGGCATTATATTCTTGTCAAAAACACCTAGATAAAAATAAACTTCACGTAAAAATAAATTTTACTGGAATGCCCAATCAGTCACTCAGTGCAAATTTTTACCACTGATATTAGCTCATGCTAGACGCAGTCTCCAGTACCTTTCAAAAGATCTTAACATCATTAACTAAACTTTTTTTCCTAAATTTACCAAACGCCGCAGTTCAAAAAAATTACAAACCAATAAATTGTATTTTCTCAATTTAAATCTTAACTCTATTCCACCTGTACTTCAATACTACGTAGCTCTCATTCTTTTTGCATGATGATCGCGATGGATTCTAAGTGATATTTCAAACTGCGGTTTAAAAAAAAATTTAAGACAGATTCAATTTCAAAGATTCTGAAAACATAAAAACCCATATAATCAATTTGTTATGAATGCATAAAAACTGACTTGACAGGTGGAGCTGAGGACCTCGCAGGCATTCGTGATGGTGCATTTCCTTTTACATCAGATGGTAATGGCTCACCACCTCGTGCTTCCAATGGGTCATATTCGTGCCCATCGAAATTTGCATCGAAAAATTTCTTAAACCATTGCAAGAACTCGAAATTGTCCTACAACGAAGTCTTCAAAAGTTTTTTTTAAATTAAAAATGGTGATATTATCATTCTTCATACAAAGGATAAGCTTCAAAATTTAAAAACCCCTCAATACTTTAATTCTAGCAAAATCTTTTCCAAAAAAAATCTACCTGAAATTTCCCCTTGATAAGTTTTTCCACAGGAACAATTTTATCAACACCTAGTGTTTTCCATGATGTTTGCAACAATTTCCAGTTACTTAACCAATCCAATTCTAATCTGCTGTTCCATTTCACCCGCCGTAGCTGTATTGAACCAGGAAACAGGAAATCTGTGAACTTCAAAAAAGGACGTTAATTTTTTAAGCATAAAATTTTTTTTCAAGCAATCAAAAGCCATCTAAACATCGAGGCTTTTTCGTTCCAAAATATTAAAGTTTTTGGCATTCCTCAGTTTTGAAATGCGACCGACTGGAAATGGTCCCGATTTCATCGTAAATGAAACCTACTACTCATAAAATTCTTTCAGAAAAAAGGATTTCGTCCAAAATTTTGTTTTGCCTTACTTGACAGTAGGCTGCACCCGTATGCATTTCTTCAATTTTTGCAAAATTTGACTGCAAACAATCGTTTACCCACATGAGCATCTCATGTCGAGACAAATTCTCTGTCGTTGCAGATGTTGCATACACATTTACAACTGACATCTGGAAAATGATATGTCGGTTTTAATATTAGACTTTCATCACTTCTATAGTTCTGCAACTGATTTAATTTTATTCAACCAGTTTTTATAAGGCATTCAAATCACAGTATTAAACTTATAAGGAATTTCAGTTAGAGCTATTCATCAATTCATTGGTTAGAAAAATGATAAAGTTTATCCTTTGGACGCTCCGCAAGAAAAAACGTTAAGCTTACATTTGATGACAAACCCGCTTGTTGTCTCGGAAAAGAATGGAGCTTCTGATCATAAAATGATTCTGAAAAAAACTGATAATTATAGCAAATTTTTTTGGAATCGATTACGATCACATCAGTATAGAAAGTGAGATTAATTTGGAATATGATTCTATAATTAAGCCAGTAAAATCAACCACTAAAAAATTTCAAGTGTTTTAATTAATAGGACATGTGATGTAGAAGAAAAGCAATACCAAATGTTATGCAACGAATGATTAAGTACCACAGCTTTGCAAACTCTGATTTCACGAATAATAAGACTTATATACATTTGTATCAAACAAGAAAGTCGTCTATTGTATTGATTGCAATAACGATACGTTACCGCAATCTTTAATTGAATTGTTACGACGATGAACGGATTTGTATAAAACGTAGGCGATGGCCTTGACCCGTTCCACTTTATACCAAACACTCATACCACAGGGGAAAGGATTGTAAGGACGTGGGGAATGTTAGGAATTTGTTAGTATTTAATTTAATTTCATGCTGAAATTTTAAGCGGCGATTGAAATCCAACTTAGCTCTTCAAGCGCACCAAATATATGCACGACAAATAAGAAATGTGCATCAATATATGATAGTCAAACTATAGACCAGAAGCGGCATATCACTGGAAGATAGCACAATCTTTCTGCAAGTAAATTAAACTAAATAGATAATAAAAAACAAGCTGTCATATCAAAAAAGTTGTAAAATGAAGAGCATCCCATTACAGTCAAAATTCTCTTTTTATATGAGAAAAACCTCCACTTTTTTCGGCTTTATCTTACCTAGAGAAAAAAATCATCTCACTTTATTTATCGACGCTGAAGTTCAAAGTGCTATATCGAAAAAAGAAATTAAGAGAGTAACTTAATGTATTATGTTCCTTGCGCGTATATTTCAGTAATTAGTGAGAGTGAAACGAAAGTGATAACTCATTAAGACCACAGTTTATGAATAACGGAATCCAAGAAAGAACTTGTGTAAAATAATTTAGTTCAGCTAAATCTGGGAAATTTTTGACGAGTGACAAGATATGTTGTAAAGAACGACGGAAGCTGAAATTATTAACACAGAATTTTGCAGCGAAATAGACGATGAATTCATCGAAAAGAATCGATGAATTTTTTTATTCAGATAGAAACAACAACCAACAAAATACTCAAAGATCAATAGTCTCATTCAAGAAAGCAATAATGTGGAAAATTCCAACTAAGAAACACTGAAAATAAAAATTCAAAAAGCTTCAAAAAACTTCCGTTCGTAAACTAACAATAACTAAATGATGGCAATAAAAACTAGCAACTACATGTGCACCAAAAATTACAATTGCAACTGATTGTTGCCACATTCTCTACATTGTTTTCTTCTCTTCCATCTGAATAAACTTCAAAAAGTTTAAAAATCAGTAATCTAAACTGACCACAACTGATCTTAAATAAATCCATTGTAGCTTACTGTTCCAGCACCCTATATGTATTAATGTAAGATATCGGTAGAAGTAACCCGTAACCCACTATTATTGCTTTCTCATCGCCTTCTATCAACAGATAAAACCACAGAACAAATATAATGTTGACATTCATTTCAATAGACACCACAACACGGAAATGGCTTTTTTATTTTAATAATGACCGAATTTTTGATAAGAAACACTAATTCAATCCTATTCTTTTAAAAATTTTTGCTCTAGGCTTTCAATATATTAGTGCTTTCAATTATTAGTAAAAATACTAGTTAGTAAAAATTAGTAAAAACTGAATGAAGAAAGATAAACATAATAAGGAATTTTTGATTTTGAAAAGTTTGAAATTATACGGCTGATTTTCAAAGCATCGGAACCATTAAAAGGCCCTTTAGCATCTCAACAAATCCTGGTCGCAGACAAATTAGCGTCAACAGTGCACAAGTACACTACAAGCAATAGAATCAACAAGCCGCTTGAAGTAGTTCGACTCCCAATCCTATTTAGTTTTTCAATAAGCCAACAAGATTAGTGTCTATCCCGGATAGTCATAAATTGAAGTGATAAATGTAGAATAAAGGAAAGTATCGTCGATGCATTTGCAATAACAAAATTACAAGTAACCACAAACTAACATGGCTTACATTCTGTTTTATTTACGGTTTTTTTGGAAAGTAACAAAATTAAAAATTTATAATCTAACAAAGATCTGTGAGCGATTTATTTATCATCACAGAAAAACAAATCAAAATAGCAGCGTATGAAAAAATTGTCAAATCTGATTTACAAAATAAAAGACAGGATAAGAAGTATGCACTTGACAACTTCAGAAAATTCAACGTATTTGCGATAATGGTTCATTATATATATATATTGAACACAAAACCGTATCGTGCAGGCTCTAATGAAAATATTAAACTTCATTAACAGTGATTTAAAAGTCACCTAGAAGCTCTCGCGATGATCATAACGATTGCTCCTACTAGAAAAGTACTGGTATAGGAACAAAGATGGATAGGTCTGAAATGATTGAATTTGAATTAATTGACAATCGTGGAAGAGAGATGAGAAAATAAACAAGGAGCAATTAATAACCACCATCGAAAGTTTTCTATTTAAATGACCTTAAAGATGTCGCGAAACACTATAAATCAAAATTATGCCATTTTTTCTTGCAAAACAAGACGTCATTTAAAAGCATTAGACTAAAATTAATCGTTCTATGACCATTTAACAAATGATTGGTCAAAATTCATCTTCACAAGAGCGTATTGTTTCGCAAAAATAAAGACCATGACTGTTCCAGAAATACATCAGTAAAGAGATCATGTAAAACAAACCTCTAAAATAATATCCACTAGTCATTTACTGTACTGTAGCAAAAAAATAAATATTAGAAATTGACTTCTTTTGCAGTTCTTTCATGCATTTCAATACTGCTACGTTTCTGGAATAGAAATAACATAGAGCATCTTTTCTTAAATTCGTATATCGAATATTAAAATTCCCCAGCAGCATGATGCTTTATTTTTACTAAATATTCAGATCAATGTCGATAGAAGAAAAGACCGTCGAACAGAATTCAAAAAGCGATTCACAATGTCAGCTGTTTTACCGTTGCGTTTGAACTCTCCGCACGTAAAATTGCCTATGACTTCATTTCCAAATCAGGAAAATTCGAAAATGTGCAAAAACGCAAGGTTTTGCTTGAATTCGGAAGCGATAACACAAGACACTAAATTTCGCAAAATGCTGATAACTATATGCAAATAAAACTTATAAATATACATCCATAGCCTATATATAAATTTAATAGGTCAATGCCTGAGACAGATCACGTACTGCAAAAAAATAATGTAGTAAAACCACAATAAACGAAGCTATTTAAAGAAATATTAATATATTTCATTGATGCGTGATATTACGTAGATCACGGCGATCGCGATAAACCCATACACATAGATAATCTGCAATTTAATCATTATTAAATAACACTGATTGTAAAAACACAGTCATGCTGAGTCATCCAGCGGGTGAGCTTAGGTGATAAGGATATATTAATAAAATTCAATTTCAGTTTGAACATTTCAGGTCTGAAATCAAATCAAATTGAGAGATTATAATTTATGCAGTGCGTTAGTGGCACTTACCTGAATCACTTACCTATAACAACGGAATTGTTAAAAACTCAGAAATGAAGGGAAAGGCGATTCCGCAAGAAATAGAAATAGTTGCTGTTTTTAAAAAGATGCATTTCAGATATTTCCATCAGCTACACTCTGAATTAACCAAAACATATTTTAGGCTGGTAACAAAAAAGAAAAGTCAACAAAACTATCTCATAAAGCACTCCTTATAGAAAATAAAACAAAGGAAAGAGGACTTTCACACTAACATGCTCCGATTTCGTTTTGTTTCATTCAATGGTACTTGTTCATCAACATTTCGATCTTCGAGTGATGGCTCAACAATCACTGCGGAAACCATGTTTCGATGGTACTCGGAAGAGTGTGATCCGTCATCCTCATCAGGCATTGATCCATAAAGCTGATCAAGTTGTACATATACGCTTAGTGGACGATGGGCTGGTACATTGTTACATGCCGATATCGGAACGCGATGTAATTCGTCCTGCAATATGCACTATGTTCATCTTTCAAGTTTCACAATATCTATTACAGTATTTTTTTTGAGTTAAGAAAAAACAAAGAAATTTCTAATCAAAATACATACAACATTCACTTTTTGCGTATACCATTCACATCTCTTAATACCATGCATATTTATCCGTTTTTCCGGATCTTTGTCAAGCATTACAGTAAGCAAATATTCCAATGATCTCGATAGCTGCACACTTTGCGGCATTTGTAAGGGTTGATTAGCAATATTGTCAAAAAGGCGCATAATGACATCACCTTCGAATGGATATTCACCACTCACCATATTATACAAAGTTACACCGCAAGCCCAAATATCCACTTTTCGACCTCTAAAAATGAAAAAATGATAGATATCAATTATTCACAAGACTAGATTTGCCGAAGAAAGATTATTTAGATGCAATATTTCTGAAATCAATCGATAAATTGTTAATTTAATTTTCAAATGTTAACATAGGATTAGCAAAAGTTGGGATATGATTAATTTCTTTTACTTCCGACATCTAAGCATCTATCATCTAAATGATACATACTAGTAAGAGATAATTATTGGAAAATAATTTCCAGAAGTATCTTTATGACAAAGAATTATACCGATAATTTTCAAAGATTCCCGAAACAATTTCAGGAGGCTGAAATTTCGGAGTACCCTGAACAACTGTACACCAATCTTCCGCTTGAAAAATATCGAGCATTTCGGCTACTCCAAAATCACTAATTTTGAGCGTTCCATCCAAAGTGACTAACAGATTACCCGGCTTAATGTCCTTGTGTATTATGCCTGAATAGAAATTACTTTACTGCACGATTAAAAAATTGAGAATATTTCCAACATCCAAAGATACGAACGTAACAGCTTATTTCTATCAGCAAAATCATATTGAAACGACGAGCTAACAACTAAAATCACAGTTATTATTTGTCGATCACTGTTGAGAGGAAGCTCTGCAACTCTTGCTGTGACTAATATATTTCAAAATGCAATAGTTCAAAATATATTGTAAATTTTGGTTTAGTTAAAAAGTAGGTCTGCAATGTCCCATCATTTAGGATATTGCAGACCTATTTCTAATGTCCGTATTGCAGTACTAACTTTTTTGATGTAAATGTTCTACTTAAAGTTACACTCAACTGCTTGCATATACTCTCATTAATGGCACATACTATTCCAGACTATGCCAAACATACCATGCGCATGAAGATAACTTAAGCCATCGCAAAGTTGCCTGAAGAAATACTGTGCTTGATACTCGGGCAATTTCTTTTCTTTAGACCCGTCTAAAAGTTGTTGCATCGAACCAATACAGTACTCTAATATCATATACAATTTCTGTTTGTCGTCAACACGAAAGAAGTCTCGTAGGGCGATGACATTGCGATGTCGTACTCGTTTCAATATTCTCAGTTCCTGTTCAACGTTAGCCTGAATAAAAACATTTTTTGGACAAATACAATAACCCCACATCTAATTAATTCAGGAGCCATAGATATGACAATCTAAATGATATTGAATATACATACATGACCATTCGGGATTTTCCTTAGTCGTGCTTCTTTGATAATTTTGACAGCTCTTCTAACTAAAGTATCTTGTTCCAGCACTTCTTTCACTTTTCCATATGAGCCTTCCCCAATTCTCTCTCCAAATAAATAGCCATTCAATATTTTTGGTTTTTTTTCGACAAGCACTTCTTCAACAAACTGAAAACGCCACATTGATTCATGAAGTACCAATATATAATAAAAATTAAATGCTGTTTGATGTTAAACTAATGCGTTTCAAAATCTTTTGAAATATGAGACAGTTTATCGCAATCCATTCTTCATCGAATAAAAGAAAAAGAATGCACTATGTTTACTGGTGATGCTTATTACAATGATAGTATGAACCAAGTTTCGTAACGAGGAGTAAAAATTGCAGTGCAACAGGGATAGTCACTATTGCTAGATCAGTAAAAGTGCAAGAGCATATATATTTTAAAATTTTTTACTTACTGTGTCATCAGAAAGTGGTTGAAACAAACGATTTTTATCTGCAAAGACACTGTTGAGCACTGCATCAAAGTCTGAATCACAGTCCGGCGAAAATCCAATCTTTAATAAAAATTCAATCTCTAATGAAGTGAGTAATAACTTTGTACTCACATTACTTAGCTTTTTTTAATTTAATTTTTAATGCTGAAGGATAATTATTAAATCAGCACTTATGCTTGAAGTTCTAAAGCAGTAATGTTTAATTTTTTGCAACTTTTGAAATCATTAAAAGAAATTTGCCTATGCAGAGTACAGAGACATACCACTGGTTGGTCAACTGCGCTGGACGATGGACTAGCTAGTGAGCTCCACACTCGTAAACTTTCCCTGAGATCGTTCACCTCGGTTTCTTCACAGTCATCACCTCCTACCGTCATGCTCTGCAATCTTGTCGAAACATTAAAAAGAACGGGTTTAATTATTTTGTGTGATCCAATATGTACAAGTTAAAAAAATAAATCAAGATTGACCTGCAGAAACAAATAGACCGGTAATCTAAAATATGAAAACCAACCACAGTCCGCCATCTTGAATTATCGGACTCCAACGATACCGGAGTACTGACTTCCGAACTCATTGGCTGGTCAGCGCAACAAGAAAAAAAAAATGATAAGAAAAAAAGTGTTTTCTTAAATATCACATCACATGCGTTCGACCTGGAACACATTGAATGATCAACTCTTTAAAATTGCTGCTATTCCGTTAGAAAATGAGAGCACACTTTTTTACAGAATAGCAGCAATTTTTCCCTTCTCTTCTTTCCCTCTTCTCCTCCCAAATGGCGTACATGAAAAAACTGCTCTCTATCAACCATATTTACCCGCTTGCTTTTGAGAGAAAAGATCCATCGTTTGTGTATTTTTCACCTAGAAAAGATCCATCGTTTGTGTATTTTTCACCTCCTTAGAGGTGATTACCTCTGCAAAAAGTTTGTTTTATTTGAAGTTTAAATCGTCTACGGCCACTGCACGCTAGCTGGATGTACTTTTAAATTTATAAGTACTACTATAGATAGGATTCTGCTTATTCAACAACATCATATATAGCTTCATCTTGCCAAAAAACCAGCCGCCAAATGTATTCCGTTTAATTGATGAAATCTGAATTTTGCATAGTTCGAACATCCCAACTACTATGTTTCACCCTTAAACTGTACAACCTAACTGATTAAAAACATAACAACATTGACAAGAAATTCATCGCCGCATCACCTGAACGGTTAAAAACACTATATAACCGACCAGAAGACATAAATCTCTGGCCCCAAATCCACCTTTTCACTTATACTCCCCTCAATGAAACTTAGCTTCCCGTACACACAGCAATACTTCATTGTGATCGGCACACCGGAGATTTTATCTGAATTGATTCTTTCATGAGAACAAAATCATTTTTGATTGTTTTTCTTATCTATGAAGTACCTTTTTAATTTGTTATTATTATCTATTAAGTGAGTGAAAAGTTGCTTAGGGTAATACGAAAGTATAGAGGACAATAGGCAATAGACACTTTGAAGGATAATTCATCCGGTAACTTTTCGATTAACAGGATGCGCCACTCTGATAAGAGAAGAAAGGGCGACATTCAAGAACACACTTTTTCATTGCAACTTATTTAATTTTGCAGCATTTTTCGCAGGTGTTATAAAAAAACAAGAGAATTTTATCCAACATTTAACGATCACCACTTCTAATGAAAGCGTAAGATCTAAAGTACCATATCGGATTCACTGCTAACGAGTCAAATGTCATCCATGATACATCGAGCACCATGTAAATATAGAGTACACAGGATGATCTTTTACGAATAAATCAAAAAAAAAGCACTTTTAAGATTAAAAGTAGTATAAATGTGCGGTTTTATCATCCAGTGATGAAACATAAACAATCGTGTAAGAGTGAGAGCGAGAAATATTTAATACTCTGCAAGCCTTGGGCATCCTCACCGAACGAAAAGATGAAATTAGTAGAGAATGAAAGTCACATTACCTGCACCAGTTGCCTATTCTACAAAAAATTTACATTATAACCCGTTAAAAAAATGATGAAATCGGAAGCTTTCTATCATTTCATTATTTTTATATTTCAAAAAAAGTCGAAGGTGCGAGGTGACTTAACGAAAACAAGAAAGAAACGTTTTGTCTACAATTCAAAATTCCTGATCTTCAACAAATTTCAAATGGTATTACACATCCTTTATCTACGTTGAATTTTTTCTACTAAAATAAGATCAATATTTGACAATGCAAAATCTAAAAACGGTTTTCAAAAAATGAAATAAGTTCTGAAACAAATTAGTTTCGACATTATTTTCAGCAATACGCACAGTATACTCAATGTTACTAAAATGCAATTGCATAGTACTTTATTCCAGATTTCAAACAACTGCAAAACTATGCATAGCTCTCAAAGAAACATTAAATTTCATGGACAAAGATGTAAAGAATCACATCAGATGACCAGCAATCCACAAACAATATGTGCTGTTTAAATTATATTTTAATCAAGTTCCGGTTCAATCAAGCCTTCTTGAAGACAATCGACAAAATTGCTGACAACTTCAGGAAGGTTAATATCATCACTTACAAAATCAAACTCTCCTGGTTCAAAGACGGAATGATGAGATCTGGTCATATCACGCAACTTCACTTTATTTTTTTTTTCTTCGTCGCCTTTTCTGATCTAAAAAAGGAAGTATGCTTTTTTCACCGTTCGAAGTGGAACTAGAAAATCTAATTCCCTCTCGAAGTAGCACCATTAGAAATTAAACAAAAAACTGCGTTATATATTTGAAAAAAATAGGTAATTTTTCAGTAAATTTTCAAGTTACCTAATTAATATTAATATAGTTTAAACGGCAAAATGTGAGAAATAACCCTTTGTATTTTGAGCGGGGTTTTCATGTATTCCTTATCATTCCTTAACGATTCTAATCCTTGTAAAACCTCCAATCGCCGGATATCAATTGACCTTCGACCGTAACCAATGCCTTAAAAAATAATCCAAATACCTTCGATGAATGTGTAAATGAAACGAAATATGAAAAGTTTCCTCTACTAAAACATGCATATGCTTTTCCTCATCATCGAGTACAAAGTTCTGAGAAACTTACCAAATCTATCGTCCACAGCGAATCTGAAGAGTCTGTAATCGGCCTCTTTTTGGATGTTCGAAGATAAATTAGTATGTTTTTCTAGATGATCACGAAAGAAAGCTGACGAGCAAGTTGTAAACGTACATCTACGCAGTGGACAACCAAACGTTGCTGAAAGGCCAAAATGGTGCGATCTGAAATGGAAAATTGTTTATTATTCAAAGAATTACTCAAAACTCAGAGCCAACAAAAACTCAGTAGATGAAATCGATTAAGGAAGGAAGTGCTGGAAATTACAAAAGTTCACGTGGCAAATACAAACAGCGTCTTTTCAGCATTTTGCTTTGGGATATATCCCGCCGTGTTTCAGCAATGGAACAACAATGAGGATTTCGATCAGATTTTGTAGAAGACTTCTAAATTCTTTTCCGAGACGGATAAAACTTCAAGTATAAATGATAATAAAGTCATTTATAATTCATGTAGCTAAAGAAAGTAAGTACCATCAAATCCTAAATAGACTTAACTATTTAACACCAATTTGCAGCAATGAGAAGAAATGATTTGCTTTCTTAACTTGCATGAGTTCCATTTTTAGTTGCATCTCCTTCCTAAAGTTGCAACATGCTGAAGTACCAAAACCAAACAGGTCCAAGTACAAATTAAGAAAACATTAAGAAAACAGGCAGTAAATAGTTTAAAATTAACCCAATGTGTTGTTGATAGCTTGCGGGTTCCATGTACATTTCGTTACAGTATGGACATTGGTATCCCCATGCTTGACGTGGAATATGATTCCGCAAAGTATGCCGTCTCAAAGTCATCTGGCTTGCTGAAAGCAAAAATTGTTAACCAAATGTCTCGGGGCATCGTACAGTTATGAATCATTACGTAGGGCAAACATCTGTTCGCTCTACGCAATGAAAAAAATTGCACTTTTTGATAATGCCTTCAAAACACACAAAACTTCCTGAATTTTGTCCTAAAGAATTAGAAGTTCAAGAGCTCGATTTTTCTAAGAAAGGAATTAAGTCTCGCCAGAGCAATTGCAATTCTTCCATATCAATACATTTAAATAGCTTTTCATATCACCAATTTTAAGATGACGTATTCCACTTCAAATGCATTTATTTTTGCTTCAGATTCTCAATAATTTTTATCTTTCATGCTATTGTCAAAGTGCATTTACCGGCAGCATATCCGCAATGTTTGCAAGCGAATGGTCGCAAATTGGTATGCACATTAAAATGTTCATCGTAGGAACGTTTCGATGAAAGTTTCTTGCCGCACAGTTCACAGGTCCATTTCATTTTGAATATTACATCCCGATTATGAATCTGGAAAAAATAATGATTTGCTGTCTCAACAATTTCTAGTCATTCAAATATTGATTTCTATATTCCGCGTTCTTGTTCTGCTTCGGAAAAGTCTTTAACTAGAATCACATAGTGAAAAGTGAAAAAAAATAGTGAAATATAATCTTATCACCGTAACTAGTGTTAATATCTGAAATTCCCAATTCCAGTTAGAATTAATCACAGTAAGTCTTAATTCCAAATAATATCAATCTTGACTACTATCCTTTACTTTTTTCTTTTTTCCGTCGGACGACATTCAGATACCATAACGTCTTAAATAAATTCTTCAATTGAAATAAATACCCTATAATTTTTACTTGTAGATAAGGGAGTCTGTGCTTGGCGTACTGGTGAGGAAGCTCCCGCTACAAACGGCATTATTGCTCTCTTTGTTATTCTTCAGAAAATAACTCTTTGTAGTATTATTGCAGCCACAATGGATAAGAATAACAAGTTGATATTTCGATAACCTAAAACACACGCCAATGGATTATCTCGCAAACACAAAGGGCGCCTGAAGCAACGATCCATGATTTATCACTACTCTTATTTTTAAATCATATAGGTAACTTACATAACATAATGTATTGCCATAATGTATTTTTTTTAATTAAAGGAGCCATTTCAAATCAAATCACTAAGTTTTTATACTTTCCCGGGAATTCTATATATTTCTTATATATTGAAGTAAATTCAATTTAAACCTATTTGTTTCTATCTAATTCATGGTGAAATCAATCAAAAATTCGCGGAATTAATAGAATGAATCGCAGATTCGTCCAGGACAATTCTAATTATCACCAGAATGACCAACAATTAGTAACCTTATTAATAAAGTTTCTTTCAAAATTAAAGAAAACTGAACTCTAACAGTAATTTGATAAAGTGAGAGACGTCACTTTTCACCCCGGCTACGGCAGAATGGCATAAAGAAACCAAGAATTACCAAAATTCGGCTGACAGCAAAATAACTTTAATGATCATTGGTTGTTAGTAGTGTAGTGCTAAGTTGTAGTTTGTGGTAATGACATGTGAAATGGTTGTTCACTTCTCTCGGAGTTCTGGTCCTCTCAACAAGCCAGTTTCGAAAATGCTATCTATAAACTAGCATATGAGTTTACAGTTGATTCAGTACGAAAGATGTTTCATTCCATAATGAACATTATTTGCTTTATTATTTAATTTTATTTGTTTTTGTCTTAATTTGAAATTTTACTTTGTTTTCAAGTGAATCCGTTCCTTGTAGATACACGCATGGGTATTGTTAATTAATTTTCAAAGATACGCGTCGATCTGCAATTCATTGTTTCCAATGATCTTTATGTAAAGTATGTTAATTTGAATCTTTTCCTCTTCTATATAATTTATCTAGTTCTAGAATTGCTTCCAAAAGGAAAGCAGGAAGAGAGCGCGGGAGGGATAGTTGAGCTGATGAATATTGCATGCATTTCGCGTCGTTTATTCTGCACGCGATGTGGTCTCCGGAAATCATCATCATCATTTTCGACGACTACTAGGTGTGCATATCTGTTTTTCCAAGTTTTACTGAAAATATTTGCTTTAATATTTCAGCGCGATTCGTTGAAGGCAGCATACGAAACCTACGTTTTTTATATGTCAAGCCATTGTGTGATTCTCTTTTTGGAGCTTAAAATCATTAGAAGTTATAGATTTGTATAAGCTTCAAATATAAAAATATTCACTTTAAGAAATCACTCCTCTGCAATCATAACATTAGTTTTATAGGAATTTTATGTTATTTTCATATAAGTTTCAGATTTTTGTGCACTATATTTTATCCGAAATCACTAATTAACCTGCACAGATTGAATAATGTTGGCAGTTTGAGGAGAAGCACTTATCTCTTTCTGGTTAGGAATGTAAGTTAAAATAATTATCGCATTTTCTAGATTTACACTGACTTAAACACTTTTGAAATCCAAAAAAGCTTCCATTTCCTGGCTTTATTTATATCAGTTTTAACATTTTTGACCGGAAATTTGAATGAGGGAAACTAAATTATTTACCCATTTTTTTTTTGAAATATCTCATTTATCATTCTCGTAAATAAGAAGATAAACAGAGATTGCTTGCTTTATTTTTTTTATTATAATTCCAGCTTTCAAAAACTGCAAAGCGGGAACCAGCTAAGGTCCGAAATGTTCGGTGGAAAGATTTACGCGGTATTTTCGCACTTGCATATCCCTGTAGGAGACGAATATACAGTAAGTTTTGAAAATAATACCTAAGTTGTTTTTATAATTATGGGAAAAGGTATAATTACCTTTTCCTGTTATTTTCTGCATGATTATAGCAATTAAGACAGAGTATGTATCAAAAAAGATTATATTAAAGATTAGTATTTCTTAGGAAGAAAATGCGCATTAATAGTCAATTTTCTTAATAAGACATTAATTTTTTGCTAATATTTTTCATGAATTTGTACAAATTGTTTTTAGCTGGTTTGTTGTTTTTGGTCATTGGGAACGCTATTGGCCTCATCTTGCCGCGTATAATTTTCATGTTTATTGACATCGATAGCAACTGTGAAAAAAAAGGAAACATAAGAGAAAATCAAACTGATGACAAAAACATTTATTTTATCTTGGCTGCCAAATATCTGAAAGTACATTACATGATACTATTCGGCCTTTTTTGTGTCGTTGCCGCCTCCTACGGTATCAGACATTATTGTATGCACACTGCAGGTACTTTCATGGATGTTTGGACTAATCTAGAAAAGTGCTTTATAATTTTTATCATACATAGTAGTTTGTGAAATACAACTACCTACGAATTCTCTTAGTATTTAATTTTAATCTAGTTTCACATATGTGTAAATATGCTATCATAAAGTTTTCACAGTTTTGATAAAGAAACCGGCAGAGAAAGGTTTTCTGTATTTTAAAAAAGTTAGTTGTGACCTAGTATTATACAAATTTAAGTTTTCATTCCCAATATTAGGTAGAAAATATGTACAAAATTCGAGACGGTGTTACATAATACTTGAAGATATTACACAATTCAGACAATGGAATGCAAGTGAAAACTATTTTATGAACTCAATCAGGTTCTGTGGATATAAATTCCTTTAAATTATAAAAAAATATGTTCACACAAGTTTCAGGTCAACTTGTCATCAATAATTTGAGACAAGCAGTGTTCAAGTCAGTTATTCATCAGGATATGAATTTCTTTAGCAAGAATAAAGTTGGCGAAATTGTAAGTCGCCTTTCAACAGATGCACTAATTGTGGGTCAATCGGTTTCATCAAATTTAACCGTTGGCGCTCGCGCTTTTATGTCTTTCTTCGGTTCTGCTGCTATTATGGTATGTTTTACCCATTATAATAATCAACAATATTTATTAAAGCTGTACTCTCAAGTTGCCTTTCAATAGAATGGAATTTGTTTGATTACAATACATTCAGTATACAACGAAATTTTTTTTCATTTTGTATTCGCAAAGACAAGTGTGACAGTCAATAGAAAATTATTGTATTTAATAAAATCAGAATCTAGAGATGTTTATCGGATTTTTCTGTATTGAATTTCTTTAAGCAGTAGTGTTTTTTTTTAAAACGAAGCAATCCATTAGTTCATATTTTATTGTTGTTTGATTTGCTTTGAATGTATTTACCAGGATAGGTGTATACGTCACCGGAATTGTCTGAGGTGGTCACATGCCTTACAGCGGCTATTATAACCTCAGGGTATTGTTTCGGTAATTTGCAAAGGAAATATACGCTGCAAATGCAAGAAGTAGTTGCTGCATCCAATGAGGTATTATTACGGGATTTTTACTAGCTTTATATTTCCTGTGTTTAATACCTACTGTCTCCAGCTTGCCCACATTATGCAATTTGATAGATTGGCAGCAGAAGATTTCAAATGATAACGTGAATTAATGATCTTCAGAAATCTGGTGAAACTTAAAATCTTCATTTATGTTGTTTTCAATTTTCATTTAGCATCTATCCTTCATTTTGATTTGACAAGTGCAAATTATCAGTTTAGAGGAAAGGATTCGATGAAAATTAAGTATATATTTATCTTTTATTTGAGATTGCTACAGAAAAATTTTCAAATATCATAACCGTGCGGACTTTGGTTTCCGAGTTGAAGGAATGTGAAACTTACAAGAAAAGAATTCATCAACTTTGGGTTGTTTCTCGTCTTGAAGGCCGTGCAGCAGGTTGCATGATAGCTCTGGTATGGGTTACATGAAATTTGAAATTTTTTGCGCGCACATTTTGAACCCGAATTTATTGTAAATTAAGTAACAGTTAAAGTTCACAATGTGAATTCACTTCAGCACGCAATTTCTTCTTTTTCATGAATTCATTCCAGCACGAAATTGCGATACTTGCTTCGCTTTATACAATTGTATCTTACGGTGGACAGCTAATGAATATCGGAACATTGACATATGGTTAGTTTATTTATACTGTTATTATTCCTGTTTAATAGGAATAAAAACATGAGAGACAGCTTGACGGATTTTGTGTTGAATTTGATTTGTAATAAAAGACCAAGAAGTGAGGAACTAATTTCAGGTGATCTTCTTGCATTTATTTGGTATGCGAGTTTATGCGCTCTTAGTCTTCCTGGCATGGTCAATTTTTATACAGAACTTATGAAAGGCCTTGGTGCTAGTGCGAGATTATTTGAGCTTCGTAATCGAATTCCTGAAGTACCAGTAAGAGGTGAAAAAATCTTGATATAATAGACAATTTAATCGGTTGTATGTTTCTTAATAACAGATTAGTCTTTTTAATGATTATCAACGATCGCTTGAAGATCACATTTCTTTTAGGTGGTCTGTTGAAAAAGAGTATCACTGATGGTATTACTTTCAAAAATGTCAGTTTTGGTTACGCTAATCGACCACTATTATTTACGGATGTTTCTTTTCACATACCAGCAGGCAAAATTACTGCAGTAGTTGGACCTTCTGGTTCTGGAAAAAGCACAATTGCTAATCTTATACTGAGGTTCGACTGCATTATATTTGATTGGTTATTACCTGATAGTCAGCTGCAGAATGACTGGCGAGTGCTTATGATTTAAATTCAATAAGATCTCAATTTGAAGTCGAATTTCAGGTTGTTTGATTCTAATTCTGGACATATTCTGATCGATAATGTCGATTTAAAATCAATAGATCCATCTTTCTGGCGACAACAAGTCGGCACTGTGGCACAGGTTTTATTTTAATGCAAAAACATGACTAGTTATATATAAGTCGCGAGCGAATTTTTGGTGAAGTACTGCTAAAACAATATTTTTTCGCTTTTTCTGAAAATACCAGCTCTTCCAGGAACCAATTCTATTTTCGACAACAATAAGGAATAATATTATTTACGGTTCAAAACATCCAGAGTTAATAATGGACGTCCAGGTTTGTTTCTTGTTATTTCCATGTTCTTTCAATTTGTTTTTCTCAGAAAATGAAGGCATGGAAATTTTAGGTGGAAGAAGCATCAAATCTAGCAAATGCTTTAAATTTTATTAAAAACCTTCCTGATGGATTTGATACCATTGTTGGTGAACATGGAAATTCAATGCTTAGCGGTGGTCAACGTCAGAGAATCGCAATAGCTAGAGCGCTCATCAATGTTTGTTTTAAAATCTAAGTCTTCGATGTAGAGAGGAGTTAAAAAAGAAGGAAGCGTGAAATATGTCATCGATTAAAAATTTGAAATATTCTATTAATCCAAAATTTGAAAAATTCTATTAGTAAGATGACGGCTTCGCTATAGGTCTATAACATAGATATTGTTTTTATGCGTTTTTTTTTTCACGTGGAAGTTCAATTGTCTAAATTAAGATCTCTATATTGAGGACCCAATGATGCTTATCTTGGACGAAGCAACAAGTGCTTTGGACACTACAAGTGAAGATTTAGTCCGGAAAGCTATCTTAAGGTTGATTAAGAGCAGCAAGAAAACTGTTCTTATTATCGCTCATCGGTGAGTATTGCTTTGTGTATTTTCGTTAAATTTTGCATTATTTAAGAAAGCGATATTTTATGGTATTGTTTCACAAATTCTATTGGCCTTTTAAAAAAGAATTAAAAAATAATGGAAAGGCGGAAAGTTTAGTTTTTAAAAGAAAATTCGGTTTCTAAAAAGCACAACATCAATTTCTCTTGTTTTGTAGCCTTTCAACGATCAAGTTTGCTGATCAGATTGTGGTTATTAATAATGGTAGAGTAGAGGAAGTTGGAACATTTGATGAATTAATGCTCATCGAAGATGGTGTTTTCAAAAATTTAGTGGAGAAGCAAGCGATTGTATTCAGATAACGGGTAAGTCGTTACCAGCTAGAGTCATGCACAATGGGTGAGCGAATGGTATGCGCGAAAAAAGTCAAGAATGTTGGATCGGTGATTTAGAAAAATAATATTGAGATATTCACTAATGACTTTCCAAAGGCTGTTATGTGCTTATTTTTTATAAGTGGGTCACTTTTGATGAACGTGGATACCTGACTCTCCCTGATATCTTAATGTTTCAAGTAGCCGTAATCCATCAATAAATAGAGTGAGAGATTACTTCAGATTAAAATGTTCAGCGCTCATTTTTAAATTCGAATTAACTTGCGTGCATTTCAAAAATACTCTTCTCTGTTGACTCAAATGCTTAAGCGACTTTATCAGGTCAAGAATGAGTTTTCAGCATAGAGCGGATAGTTTAGGATTACGCACATATTTCTACCTCTTAAGTGATATTTGAGATAATAAAGATTTTTTTGTGAATTCAGTTGATACTTCTATTGGTGGTTGATCTATCAGTATTTTGTAGCTACATCCCTTCCGAACTGTACCATATTTGGTTTTCGTTGTATTCCATGTTTTAAAGATTTGTATTTATCTTTTATAACATAATTTAACAACGTATGCACACATTCGAGGTGAGAAATTACCGGAATAATCAAAATCAACTTTTACTTTCTGGAGTTTTTATAATAGTGGTTGTGTTAAAATTGATTTTAGGAAAGTGTTAATTTAAAAAATTTAAACTTTTTCGCTCCACTCCTCCCTCTTTTTCTCTTTTCATCTTTCTTGACTCCTTACTCAGAAGGCAAAATTGGTGGAACATCTTGAAATCGATGCCTTAGTGTAAAAGCTACAACCAAGCTCCACAGAATTCTTTGTTGATTGCCCATTGGATTTCTCTAGAAATACACTTTGGTTCAGGAAAGGCCTTGAAAAAGTATTTTGTGCCAGACAAAAGCTAAATATTCTTTACGATTTTCGCCCTTATCATCAGTCTTCTGAAACTATAACGAATCTTTACTTTTCATAAATAAATTCTATCCGCTATTTATGGAAATTTACCTCAAGGAACAAGGATTTTAATTACAAATAAAGGAATTTCACCAATTATGATACACTCACGTGGAATGGCTTTTTGGATAGTTAGATTGTTATCATTCTGATTATGCTTAGTAGCTGCCAAAATTGCAAAAATAATTTTCATTAAAATTCTATACAGCTTCTATGCTGGTTATATTACAATTCCTACGCTATATGGCTTTTCCATTGGAAGAAATTAAAAAAGAATTGAAGCAAGAATATCACACGGAATGTCCCTAAAAAATTACATTAACCCAAGTGCAGACAATTTTTGAATATGTTATCATTTTTTTTGAGTGACATTATTGCACTTCTATTGTCAGGAAATTTTGCAAAATATATCATAAAGAAAAACGAAGATACTTTACGAGAAAAATTTGGCACTGGATAAATGATTTAATGTTAGTTGCAACACATTTATAGTACTTATTAGCAGTAAACATTCTCATTCTTAACTATAAATATAATTGTGAAATTGAAAAGAGGACTTTGACCTATGTATGATGCCATGATTTGATTTGGTTTAAAGATGCTGCAGCAAAAGTGATCAATTCTGCAAATAGGTCTGATCACTGTAAGCAATAGGTTAGAGAATTATCCAGATTATATATAGTCCATGCCTTTCAAATCACGTAACTCAAAACTAAAGTTGCAAAGGCATATCAGAAACAGAATATCAATTTGGACCAAAACCAATGATAAAGTTCACCGTTGTCTTACCGACATATTACTTGTTAAAAACGAAATTTACATAATGCCGGTTAATGAAACTAATATTATTCCTTTCAGTGGTGTTACCGACCAATAAACGACCAAATTTTGGTTTGGTGTAGTGGAATAATTTTTATTGGGAGTAAAGCTTACAGTTCTTGATTACGAAATCGTACTTTGATGCAGATTAGTATAAAAAAATCAATTTTATTTTCGATATTCAATCGCTCCAATATCTAGTAGGATAGTGTTCAGAAATTTCTACAAATAAGTAGGTTTCAAACCGAATTTATTCTCATAACTAATCCATCGAGCATCGTCTGATTCGTGCGTCAGGAACCGTCCGCCAATTTTTTTTTCCAAAGATCGCAAATCTGACCAAAGCTGATAATTCTGAAAGGTTGCCACATGTAATACATGCTAAACAGATGAAAATTTTCAAGAATATAATATAACACTTTTCCCAAAAGTTGCTTGCTAAAAATGTTGGTTTTTTTGAGGCATCACTTTTCGAAAATTTCAGGCATTTCAAGAACAAATGCATATCAGGAAAAGAAAAAATGAAAGTAAGAAAGTTGAGCGAGCTATGTTATCAATGCTAATTTACTTCCAGCCATTCATGACTTAATGCTTTCAACACCGTTAATCGCTTGCTCATTTTAACTTGCAGTAAATTGTTGACGAAATCAACTGCCACAGCTGTAATTTCACACCACGGGTTTACAGGATACATGAAATCGGCATCCTGGATTTGATCATTGATGTCCTCGTCTTCATTGAATGGGAATGTGCCGGATAAACTAAAAACATTTGAATTTGTCATGATGGGATAGAATGTCATAGGGAACGAAAATGATTTTCAAACATCAGCGATGTTGTAGAATGGTAGCGACATTATCTATCGAATTATTATATCCAAAAAAAAATTGATAAAATACGGAGAAAGAGAAAAGGTGAATGTAGTTCGAGTGCAACAGCATTATTGCTTTGTAAGCTAGTTATTTGATTAGTAAAGATTCACAATATTTTCATTGTTTGGAGAAGAAAACGTATTAACAATTTCCACTTAATAGCATTTTTCGATCGTTTGAAAAAATTTCTGAAGAAAAAATTCCGGAATGCAAAGCTAACCTGACGTATACGACGACACCAACAGACCACATATCCAACGACCGATTAAAGCCTTTATTACATAGCACTTCTGGGGCTTAAAAGTGAGTGTCAATCATTGAATTTTATCAATGAAGAGAGGAAATGGTTAAATAATATTCTGTGTAGTGTCTTGGCTTAGGCTATATCACACAATGTTGATAGGTGGATCGGTAATATCAAGAATAATCATACAGAAGCTTTACGGATATATGATGATAAACCTTTCTACTGTAAATCCAGCTTTTAGATGAAGAAAATGGATAATAGTGTTCATAAGATATATTGATTCACTAAAAATTTACAGTAGAAAAAAGAATTTTCAAAGATAACGGGAATGAAATAAGAAAAATGTTTTAGTGAATTTTATTCTAACTTGTAGATTCTTCCTTCAGTAAGTACTCATATCATCATTTCAATACACATCTTTGGTGTATGAAAGTGGAATAAATATATTAAGTAATGAACTAACCAAGATAAGCAGGTGTGCCAACAACAGATCGCCTAAATCCTCGTTCACCAATAATCCGGGCAAAACCGAAGTCACAAAGCTTTACCTAGAATTCATAATTAGAGAAAAATTCTGAAATTAAACCACAGATAAACTATTTTATATTAAGCATTGTTTTGGATTTCTATCTAGCTAAATATTTTAAAGGAGTAGAAGGAATTCAGGAAAATAGGAAACTTGAATTTGATCTTTTAGAAGTAAAAGATATTAAAACTTTCTTTTAAAAATGCTTAATTTGACTAAAATATTAAAATTGCATGGATGCATAAATCACGCCATTGTCATTGAAAGCAAAAAATCACCTGAGGGAAATCCGAATCCGAAACTAGCAAAATATTTTCAGGTTTCAGATCACAATGCACGATATTCAAACTGTGAAGATAACGTAGCGCAATAAGTATCTGGGAAGAGTGCCGAATTTAATTCACCAAAATAACTTTCAGAATTATATCAGTTTATCATCTATCTCACCTATACGATGAATTGTACAATTCTGGATGAGGAAAAACTTTAATTAAAAGGAAAATAACTGCATTAAATTATGTGCTGAAAAACGGGATTTATTTTCAAGTTTTTTAATTTCAATCAAAAAAAAACAAATCGGAGTTAAAGATGATTCATAATAACCGTGCTTCAATTTTTTTGGAAAAGATATTATTTGAAACGGAAAAATCGAGTTACTTTTGATCGAGTTTAATAGAAATTTGAATTTTCCAGGAGTTCTTCAACAGAATCGTATTCTTCTTATAATCAATTTGGCTAATTAAGAATATACTTGTACCTGATAAACAAGAAATTGTGTAACCCGTTCGGATAATCTTCCTCTTTCGCTGCACAAAATCATTTCCAGCATATCACCCTTAAGCTTTTCCATTACAACGAATATTCGATCTGCTGTTTCCAGCATTTCCTGGAATGCCACCACACCCGGATGTTCAACTTTCTGTAAATTGACAATAGAATTGAATTATATATACGAATAGAAAGCAAGCATATAAAATGTAGTTAAAATCGAAAAGATTAGATTTTACAACACCAAAAGAAATTCCAAACGGAAAAAAATTTTACGCTTAAAATGTCAACTTCGGTTCGAAGAGCTGCTTCTTTGTTGTTTGGAAATTTCATTTTATTAATCAATTTCACAGCAACATGTCTGCCTGTTTTTCGATGAATTCCTAAATATGATTCACAAATTAGGACAGTAAACACAGTAAATAAACTATTTTCAGGGATAAATCTGTGGAAGGTCAAAAATTTTTCGAGTGATTCACTTTTTTCAAAACTTGTCCGACAGTTTCATTTAAAATTTTGAAAATCTCTTCATTTATCCTCTGAACAAGATTTCCACGATCGATTTTGCATCGCGCAATCTTACAATTTCAGACTTACAAATTTCAATTTTTGCGTGTATATTTCAACCGATATAATAAGTCTCAATCGACAATCTTATCAGAACAATGAATGTTTTATCAAAATCCTATAGATTTTACAACGACTTTCCAATTAAAAAAGCTTCGTTGAGTTTATGGGAAATAACGATTTAGAAAATTGCACCTTAAATCGATAATATTGCTGAAGCACTTCTAATACTTAAATTAGCGGTCCTCGAAACATTCCGCTTATTTACCTCAATTCATTACTGAAGAACACTTAAACTTCACATATAATCTCAGGCAAAAAGTGTAAGCTTAATAAACTCTTATATTTATGTATGCAATGAATGAGTTTCAAATTTAGAACAAATCTTGAAAATTTTGAAATAGACCTCCATATACAATCCCAAATTGCCCTGAACCAAGGATTTCATCGATAAAAATTTGATAACGCTGCGAAAAATCTTGCTCACCCTGTAACTGTGTATCTAATTGACCCATTTCATCTGGAATATAAGAATGATAAAGTTAGAAAAAATATACAATCACTATTAATCTCGATCATATCGCTATCAAACTCGATCATATGCAGTCACTATCAGTCTCAAGATAATATGAAGATTGAAATGTACTTAATTCAACCGCGAAGCCATTTATGAATAACCACGGAAATAATGGCAATGAGGAGCGGGAAATTTAAACAGATTTTAGTTGTCCGATACAACAATCAATTAAAATAGCAGTGTTTGAGTGACGAAAACATAATGACATTCTAATGTAATTTTGAAGAATTGCCTTCAATGGAATTGTTGAATTGTTGTATATTTTGCGATTGCTGTTGCTGACCACTGTCCACAATGGTATGCTCTTGCACGCTAACCGCACTTGTTTGTGGTGTAATCGGCATCATGGCTTGTCTAATAGCTGCCGCCCAAGCAGTCAATATACCGGTACCTTCAGAACGAATATTTGTTGTTGGATCATCCGCTGAGAAAACATATTTGATGTGTTACATCAGCTGCATAGTGAAATAGATAAGTGGAAAATAGCTACTTTCGTCAGTAAATATTTTAAATTTATTGTGCAGCATAAATTACACTTTTGATAAATTAAAATGCATTCAAAATCCTTCGTTTAAATTTTAAAAGAAGAGATGGAAATGTGTGTATATGCATCTCCTCGAGAGGGTGTACTCTATCTCTAACGAAAAGTTTTATTTTAGAGTTAAGATCGAATTTTGGATCGAGCTTTCAAATTCTTAAAAATATATGATACATATGTAATGTAACAAACAGAGAATGGAAATGAATGTCCACCCTCTTTTTAAAGTAATCCTCACTTTTGAAGAACTATTCTCAAAAAAAATTGCCTTTCATTTTCCGTAATCATAAAATTTTAAATAAAAATATTTACGTTATTGTTTTAAAAGTAGTAAAATCAAAAATTTTATGACAGCTCAAAAATTTACTGTAAGATGAATGGTTTCAATTAATTAATCATTTCATTCAAACACAAAAAACATTCTTAAATTGCTGAATCCATCTACTCAACTTATTAGTCCAACTACTCAAATTTCAATTTTATAAAAAGTGGTTTTGAGACAATCGGAAAGAAAAGTCATTAAGCGTTCTTGAAATAATATTATTTTTTATTTTTCATTAATGAAACATTTCCCTATTTATGCATATATCACATAAGTAAATGATCAGATTATCTAATTTACAGATATTCGTTTAAATCGTCTTCTTCTCTTGAAATCATTTTTAATATACTTTAAAGCCGAGTATAATAAAATAACCCGAAAATTTAATTTTTTTAATTTTTTTACGAAACTTTTTTTGTGCTATCATTGCGTATTAATACCAATTGTAATTTCAAAATTAAAAATAAATGATGCAAAATTTTAAGATCAGTTTGAAAATATATTCCATTAGCTATTAGAAAGGTTTTTCCTTTTATCAAAGAAAAGTGGTAGTAATGTGTTTTGGAGTGTAAGAAAATATGAAAATCAATTAAAAGAAACTGTAAAATAGATTAATTGTTTTGAATATCGAAACGCAAACAACTGTAAATGAACTATAAGTGACACTACCAATGTGATTATATCGTGACCACCAGCACTGTTTGTCTGTGTTATCGACAGGTTTCATTTGGCAACATCTCAGATGAATTTGCGGAATATCGATGGAACTGGACCATAAACAGGTGACATCTGATTGTCGATGATTATTCAATGAGGAGGTTGATATACTAGTATTACTACTACAACCACTAGTATCAGTAGTTGTAATAGTAGTTATGACACTTCCTATGTTATATTCTTTTTTATAGACTTTTGCGTATTTGCCAGGTATCGCAGCGATGGTGTATAATGGATCAGTGAATAGTACATTGGTTTGTTGTATCATGACACCATATCGGCAACATATAAACCGTAACGATATTAACCTTCAAATATTGATTGATATTTTTTATAATTTATATCTCGTAATAAAGCAACTATTCTCGCAAAATGTTCGCGAAATGCAAAAAAGGTGTGATACATATTTTCGAAAAATATGAAAAATGAAATATCATATAGCCGGTTAAATTAAGAAAGATAAATGATTTTACCTATAAAAATACCTTTTAATTCACTCGTCTTTAGGTATGTATCCCTCTTTATAAAGTTTCCAAAGAAAATCAGCAAAAGGGTAAACAACCAATCAGGTCATACGGACCAAAAAAGTATTATCGAATTATAAAGAGAAATATCCCTGCTGTAGGTAGCGTAATATACTACTTTCTACTTTACAATACAAAAATTATTTATAACTAATAAAACAACTTGAAAACATTAAAAATCGAAATGAAATTGAGAGAGAGAGAGAGAGAAGTAATGGTTACATTGTGGAATCTTTATATTAATATATCTAACAAGTAAATATGAATGGAAATTTTTAAACCAAACTCTTTGAAAAATGAAAATGGCACCGTTTGCATTGAAGAGAAATGGTTTGCAAATATAGTTAATCACTTATTTACCCTCAAATATTCATCAAATAAAATCTAATTTGACGGTAACAATCAAATATTCTCTTAATAATTTTATGCTACAGAAAAGAAGCGAACATCTTTCTGCAACCGTAAAAACTAGATTTATTAATCGACACGAAAATCCGTGCAGATTTTAAAAATGATCTCATTTTGAAAAGCAATCAAAGATGTTATAAAAAGATAACATTATGATCGTGATAATGGATATATTTTATGATCGTATAATACGAAGGGATGAAAATAATTTCAGTTTCATTTTAATTTTAATTGAAAGGAAGAATAATATATCAGCAAGTTATGGAAACTTCGTCTTCATGGAAAGATAATGAATTAAATTTGAAATCCAATTAAAGATTCTAAATAGACAAACTAAATAATTAGAGAGATAATATTTTCTAAAAATGCAATTTAAAAGATAAAGTTACGCCAAAGTGATAAATATAAGATAATGATAACATAGTAATAACAAGAGAAAAATCGAAAATTTAAAAAAGCATTACGCTAATAGAGCTATGAATAGTTCTTCCATTTAAGAAATTTAATGAGTGGAGTGAAAATGAAGAGCAAAATATGGATTAATAAAATTATTGATAGCCAGTATTAGATGAGTTTAAGAGATATTAAAATAAAGTTAATTCAAACAACAACAGATTTTACAATCTCACAATATTATAAACATTATCGATAAATATTAATACAATGGTAAATTATCAATGCAAGCTCATTAGTTCTGAATTGAAATAGAAAATTTCATAAAAAATTAGAATTGACAAATAATGATATACAATATGATTCTTATTTAACCTTATCAATTTCAGTGATAAGGCAAAAAATGAAATGATATATTTTTTGCGACATTTCAAAGAATATTAGAACCTAATAAGTAATAAGGCCATTCTTCTCATTCATTTTTCATCCTTTTCCCTTTTTCTAATAACAAAATTATCTTCAAGCCGATTTCACTTTTATCGCTCATTTATACAAATTTCCACGAAATAAGGAACTCACAAAAAGACTTACATTACTATTTATTTAATTAACTTAATTGCCTTCATGTTGATTTTTGAGGAAGACAAAGACAAAGAACTCGAATTGTAAAAAAATTGTGAAATTTTAATTTCTAAGTAGATGGCTTAACCAAAGGATCTCGTAAGAAAATTAGAAATTTAATTCACAGTGAAAAAAATTTAACCAATGGAAATTCTAACATTACCGTGTAATCAATTTAAAAACTGATGGATATGTTTGCAAGAAATTTATTGGACTTTATCTCTTCCCAAATTAAACTATATCCAGATGATCTCGATGTCTGGCTTCTTTATTCTTCAATTTCAACTTTTATCTTTTTCAAATTTTGCCATGTAAAATGTAAAGAGAAAAAATTGGCCAAGGAAAAAAAACTCTGCGAGCCAAATGGTTTGAACCAATTGTTGAAAAAGAAAAATCCAAAAAGAGCAACAAATAAATGTTGAATAAAGAATGTACTTAGTGGTAAAATTCATTATACCACCATTTGCGCCATCTTCTAATTGCTCAATCTTATAGATTGGGAAGTTCACTTCTTTTCGCATAACATTTCATAGGATAAATTGAATTGAAAAAATCTCTTTTGAAAATTCGTTAGATTTTGGAACAAACTGACAAAGCAATCCAACTGTCAAATATAGTTGAAAATAGAAGCTGAAATAACTGAAATTTTAAAATTTATCTGAAATTTAAATATTTGCAAGGATTAATTACTGATCATTCATATGTGAAAATAAGGAAAAATGTTTTTTGACTGAAATCTTTTACCATAAGCAAGAAGTTTCAAATAAATTCAAAGTAAAAGTGATAATCTTTTTACTACTTCTGATTTTCCACTAATCAGTAATGGCATGTTAACTTAATTAATTGATTGTTTTTGATGGAATTGCCAAAGAGAAAAATAACACATTTCAAAGGAGCAATAATTTTTTTCACAAAAATCGGAATATTCCAAAAATAGAATTTAAAACATTTGGAGAGAAAAAAGTAGATAAGAATAATTTGGAAATTATTGACACTTTATAACTATCGACTTATCATAAACACAAAGGGAGAGAAGGTGTCACTAACGATAAGCTCATTGTACCTTAAAACAGAATAGAGAGTAAATGATCAAAGACAAAATAAGCAACAATTCATTTAATGCAATAATTCTTTATAGAAAAAAGATGAAAAGTCCAGGAAAAAGTTTTTGAAAAGGGTGTTAAAATGAAAGAAAACTTTCAGACAGACAACACAAAGGGCACAAAAGAATGTTTGGTGGTAATAAAATACGTTAATGTATTTGGAATTAAACAATTCCCATTTTCGAATTTATAAATGATGAATCACATGAACGTTGTAATGCATAATTTTTTCCGCTCTATGATTGCAACTTAATATTATCAAGGTTTGCAACATTCATTGTTTTGTAAAATTGTATTGTGTCGAATTCAGAATCACATTATTGGATTGTAAAATTTAACACATAATTTTAGTCGAATACCTAGCATATTCACAGAACTTTCTTCATATTATCATCAAATAGATTTTACAACATTAGTTATATAAATGTTTTTAATTTCAATAAATTTTAAAATGTCAAATATCTTAAAGAGTCATTGTGGGAAAGATGATCGGAATAGTCAAGGAATAACTATTGAATCTCGAGATAGATATCAGAAAAAGGAACTTTAATGATAAGAAAGAGAAGTATTAATATGTTATATTATCAATAATAAATGCATAATTTTTATTTGATTTATAATATCATTTGTAGGGATTGTAGCAAACTTCGAATCTATGATTGTGAGAATATTATTAATCTTATCATGATTATATTTAATGAAATATCCATCTCTTTCATGACATCATTCCTGGTTGTCTGGAAGTGTATGAATTTTCGAATAAATTTCTCTTCGAGAAGTTTTCAAATAAATGGAATATTTTCGTTATTTTATAGCAAGTAATTTATCGTTGATATTTGAAAAAAAACCAACTTGATTGTACTTAAATACTTAACTTATGGACATATTATTCTTATCTACCAAGTTCATACTCATTTATAGAATTTAATAATATTATTAATTATCAAGAAATTGATTAACTCAGATGTTCGGGCTCGAATCTCAAAGAAATGAGCTGTATTTTCGAGATTACTATCCGATACATACTTAACATCCAATATTTCACTTAACGGAATTTCCTATAATTTCTCAAAATTTTTCACAACATATTTAAGGAAATAAGTTTAACGAGTTATATAATTTAAGAATCGAATTCACGATAAAATTTTAAAATTTCAATCGCGTCAAAAATTAAAAACAAAATTCAAACTGTTAACTCTGTAGAATCTGCTCGATGAATCACCTTTATAAAGAACGATTGCTTTTATGTCTAAACGCCATTAATGCTTTTTACGCTGTAATATAAATGTATTAATTCAGGAAATTAAGCAAATAAATAAGATTGACTGACAAAAACTTATTAGTTAGTCTAAATGAGCCTGAAAGTAAATTCTGTCAAACAATTAGCCTTAATGAATTTCAGAAATTTTCAAATATTTTAGGCAAAATAAAAGGAAGAGAACCAGTGCATTGATGATTAATAATGCACCATCCAGCCTTCCTCCAACTTTGGCCTCATAAGGCTTAGTTTGCTTCTTGGACATAAAAATTCGCATCAGCGGAATGTTCTAAAATGCAAAACGATTCTGTTTATTTTACTTAATAACAGATGAAATTCAATTAAAATATCCAAATTTAATTTTCTTCTTAAAGGATTTCGACCTGAAACATCACAGATAACACAATTCGGCTGCAAGCTTATGCCAATGAATGATAACAGGTTTTATGTATTTATGGATATATGTGCAATTGACGAAAGGCTCATCTATTATTCCTAAAGCATATAAAAATTTCAAAATTAGTTAACAGTACCGGCCATTGACTTACTTTCCTAACTACTAAAAAGAAAGAAGGCCTTCTTAAAGGGTTGAGATCATTTATAAATAACAGATGAGTCATCGCTTCAATTCACTTCTCGTTGGCTGATAGAAGGAGTAACTAGAATGAAATATTTCTCCTTCTATGTAATGAAGTAATCCGAATGATAAAGTGATTTGGTTGAGAACAAAGGAATTGAATTCATTTCTGTCTGTGAATTGAATTTGACAATTTAATTTTAAAAAATGATGACAAATACAGAATCGAATCATATATGATTTCTCGGTTCAATAAGGAATCTTTCCAAACTTTAATATCACAGTGTAAAATCAACATAAACCTGTGAATCGGTGAGAATGTCATCGCTGCATGGTATATCCTGATCATTGCTCTTGATATCAGTCGCTAGCAGGGATGCACTTAGCATTGTTTGGGCCTCGCCATGATGTGAATTTATTATTACTGTGGAATTATCGAGATTTTGAAGTGGTCCTGTTAAGCTTTTATCCACAATTGGATCATTTGAAATCTAAAAATTTTACAGTTTTTACATCTAAAATTTTTCTAACTGAAAGTAGAAAAAACTGTTTTTAACCTTTAAAAGAAATTAATTGATGTTTGATGTTTTAATCTTAACTTTATATCATCATTTTCAAAATTGTCCATTGAAAATTACTAAAAAATTTGATATAGCAGAATACTGAAAAACAGCTAAAATTATATTTCTTCAATTAATGCTAAGTTTCAGCTAAGATAGATTTAGACCTAAACTTGCCTTATCAATTGTCATTATCTGAATCATTTGGAACGCTAAACATCTATAAATTCTTCATATTACCATCGAAACTAACTTTCATAGATTTTGAAATATTTGATAAGATTGTTTTTCAAAGTCTGAGTGATACCTTCATCGACTATAATTCTTTTTATTTATTTTATAAAGACATTATAGTTACAAATAATCCTCAAAAGAATCAATTTATTAACTCATTTAAATTTTCTAGAGGGTGACAGGTTTATAAATAAAGAAGAAACATAGGAGGATTCATTTTCATCATTCAACACATCTTTACTTCATAAATGTGACACCTTGAAAGGTAAAATAACCAAGTTACTACCAATGAATTAATATGTGACGAAATAATTCAGTCATTCATGCTTAATCAGTTGGTTATGGGAGTAAGTTTTCTCAGCATAAATTAAAAAAGGAAAATTATAAACTGTTATAGGTCTTTAAATGCCATATAAGTGAAATATAGCGCCCGATATTGTGACACTATTATTAAAGCATATTTCATTACATAGTATATTTTATTTGCTCAATGTTGTATTTGAAATTATAGTACTTAAAAATAAGGAATTTATAATTTTAAATGAACGTTTTGCTTGGTTGAAGAAGCTGATCGATTGTACTAATTGATATAATCAACAATTGTTATTAATGGCATCTAAATAATAAACTTATTCTTCAACATGTGATCGTTGTTTCATTGATTTTCAACTATTTGTGCTATTCATCTTTTTCACTACAAAAAAAGTGGCAATTTAACCAATTTCCTTCGCTCAAAATTACAATAAAATTTTCGGGAACTTTCAAAATTACTTTAAATCTTACCTGTTGGTTTATTGAAGTATTATCGAAATTATTGACTGGCAATAGGCTAGAAAGCAAATTTATCAAAGTATCAAAAATCAATTTGAATTAGTTTTTTTGGAATCATTTAAAAAAAAGGATTTAAATGTGCTTGTTTATCAGCAATAATTCTTTTGGCTCATTACAAATTTTCAAAAAAAACTGTCACCAATTGGATTACTTTGATTGGAAGTAACTTAAGCAGTAGAATTTTCCATGACAAAAAATATGGAGGTGTGAACCAATGCGGTTATTCAAAATTTTCGAAGTACAGTATTTATGATAGTTCAATTTGCAAGTAAAATTATTAATTAATGATTATCACAATCAGTTAATCAATCAATCAATCAATTGATGATCTATCTTATTTTTTAATATTGCCTATTAATGAAGTTATATCCTAATCATTATTCAACTAATGAAAATTTTTTAGGCGTTTCAATTTAAATAATATCATGCAAGGTTGAAACTTTTAGTATAGATCTCGTGATATTTGTAAAAAATATGGCAATAGCCTTTTATCTTAACATTTCTAAGATTCGAATTAATATTAATAACTAAAAGCATTGATTTATTTATTACTTAAATTACTGATATCCTCAAAATTCATCATCACCAAAAGTTTGAAAAGAATATGCCGATATTTTGATTTCTGTTCATATCATGGCAAAAAAAAATAATAAAGTTGTATATATAAACAGGTTTACTAGCCAGTGGTCAGTGATCAACAGTTTATGTTCATTTTATGTTTACTAGCCAATGATCAGTGATGAACATTATTTTTCTCTCTTTCTCTCTCTCTCTCTCTCAAATATTTCATCGGAGTGATTTTTTTATTACTTTTTGATCATTTCATTTGTAATTGTAGCAATTTATGATCGTTGTTATGTGCCGCAATATTTTGAAGTAAATTTCATTTCGTTAGCCTTATCACTCATTCTTCTTTTACCTAACTTTCTGATAAAGTAATAGCGAACAGAGATGTATTCATTCCTTTTCCGATAATATTTAGAAGAAATGACAAATTTTGCTTACATCATTAATCATAATGAAAAGATGGCATTATTTTTTTGAGAAAACTTGGTGACACATTATGACGACATTAAATTTAACTTTAAACAATTTCCTTCTTCTTTTGTTTCTTCAACCTTTCTCATTTGTAATTTGCATGTCCCTTCGCTTGCATTGAAAAAATTAGAGTTCTAATCTTTTGTTGTCTTTAATGAGATACTGAGACTGTCAGAATAGCGAAGAAATTTGAAAAGTTATTGACAGAGAATTACTTTCATGAAATTTTGAAATTTTATGAAATGACAATATTTATTGAATAAATTGATACTTAAGCGGCTTTTTTCCATTTGTTCCATTTGAAATATTAATGTATCAACAAAGTGTAGAATTGAAATTTTATAAAGCAATTAAAATAGCTAAATGTATTTGCCAATTATTATATATGAACAAAATAAAATCTCTCTAAATAAAAAGTGATGATTTCAGTGCTTTGAAATCAGGTAAATCAGACCGTATATGAAAATTCAAATATTGATTTCATATTTTTAACTTTTAACATTAATTCTATGAAATTTGCAACTGATGACGATTTTAATCAGTATTCTATCGATGATATCAATACTTGTAACGATTATTTCTATCATTACAAATCTTACACTGATTAGCTGCCTTACAATAGATCGTGTAAAAAAATATCGGTTGCAATAATATGCCTGATGTTGAATCAAATAGGCTTAAAGATCCAAATGTTGATAGGTTGATTAGTAAAACATCCATCAGCTCATAGTAAACTTAATGATTTACCGTTGTGTTGATTTAATTAGTATGTGTAATGTACATCAAAAAAAGAATTCCTTCCATTTGTCTGTCACTTAATTATATCCTCTTTTCTGTCATCTGAAGATTAGATAAAAATATAAATCAAACTAATTCAGAGAACTTGCGAAGAACGGAATAGTTAATCTGATTATACATATTAATAATTATTCTAATTATACATATCAATAAATCATCAACACTTGCCAATACTTTATTTCTTATTAATCATATAGTTTGAAAAGTGTAATAAATGAAATAATTTACAAACCAATAATAAATCATTTCAAATTCGTATACAAATTTCGAATTGTTACTGTCCCAAACTGCTAATCATACATTATAAGAAATAAAACATTTCGACGGAATATATATAAACAAAAGTGCAACAAGAAGCTCAATGATGTATTAATCACAGTTTGTATTGATTCGGAGAGAAGGAAATAAATTGAATTTAAAGAAATAGACAGATCTTTAACTGCCTATCTATCCTTCCTACTAATATTAATGTTCTCACTATCATCGTCTATATTTATCATCATCTTTTCTGAGCACTATTACCGATTGGTGCAACAATTAGGCCGATTACTTCATGATTTATAGAACAGTTAGACTGATATAGTATGCGAATGAAAATGGCGTTTGGTTGGAAGCAAAATTGAGCAAAATTTTTATTCTCATATAGATTCAAATAGGGCAGACAAGACGATTAGGAGCAAAGTAATCATTTAATTTAAGCAAAGGCCATTGGTTAAGTGATGGGACATTTCATTCTTATTACGTGGAATTTCATTTGTTTGTATATAAAGCGAACAAATTCTAAATTCACTTCATTACTTCGATTCCTACAAATATATTAATTGTGGAGTTTATAAAATCTTTCTTATAAATTGAAAGTGTCACAATCATTCTGAAAATAAAAATAATGGTCAGATGGAATTTAGGGAAGAATCGGTGGCATTAATTCCTGATTCCCCGGTCCCTCTCTCTCTCTTTCTCTTTCTCTTTCAACACTTCAAAACATTTTCCGATAGAAGCGAATTTCATTGCAATTTGAAAGAAGCAAAGAAAATTGCAATTAGAAGGAAATTTCTTCAAAGTAATCTCTCTTCACTTTTCTTCCTCTTCATTTGGATTATTTCAAGCAATCCTTTTTTTTGATACATAAAGTAAGCGATCGGAAAACGGAAAAAAAAAGAAATTTTTTCCGTATTCAGAATTTTGTTCTTAAAAGTTCGTTAAAAGATAATAGACAATAGCACTAAAAAGCTTAAAATTTCTTGAGAAAAATATTCAATTCAATGTTAAACGAAAGTAATGAATAAATTATTTAAAGAATTAATTGCAAAGAGAGATATTTTCAGCAATTAAAAGTAAATTGAAAAAGTTTTATTTACTATTCTCTTACAATTTGAAATGTACGAAATGAAGGAAATGGCGGAAAATTGTACAAAAAAGCGCTTTTGTCTCAATCGATCAAATCAGCACTTTCTAACACGAATGAATCATTTAAAGAAATTTCATTCTTAGTAGAAAAATCTTTGCAAAAATTTTTTTAAACATTACTTTAAAAACTGTAAATAAATAATGTCTTTGAGTGGAAAAGAATGAGTGAAAATATTTTATACTTGATAAAATTTGATATAAAAAATTTGATAATTCTAAGAAGTACGAAAAGCTCAAATTATCTAAAACATACCAGAAGTTGTCAGTTGCTTGGAGCTGAATGAAAAGGATGAAGTTGAACGTGGAGAATAATTGCCAGTCAAGTATGTATGAAATAAATTGAAGTAAATCTTAAGAGTACAAAAAAATAACATAAAAATACTTCAATTATTATCGTTATCATTCTTTCAACAATGATTAAATGATTGAAAGAATCATTGAAACTTTAACAAATTAACCGAAAAATTCAGAAGTACTTCACATAGTTCTTGTTTTAGCAGCAGAAGTAATATTATTCTAAATGATTTTTCATGGATTCATTAACGCTTACAAGCGATTGTTGAAATTTTTATGAACTGAATTCTAACGAAAAGATTTCTTACTTTATTTTTTCATTAAAAAAAGATAATTTTTTTCAAGAAGTGCCGAAGAATTTAAATGTTCGTAATGGAATTCTTGGAAACAACTGATAATACAAATTTATTCGAAATGAAATTCTTTAGGACAATCCGAAGTGATTAATCAAAATTAAGCTTATTTTAAGCTTAGTCATCATTAATATAACTTATAGCTTGGAACTTTCAATATTTCCTTTTAAATGGCCAAATTAGTTTATACTTAATGAAAAATACAAATTCTGAAGTATGAAAGAAAATGATCAATCCAAATTTGAAATTATACGAAATTCTCTTTAATTATGCAAACATATTAATTAGATAAGTAATAGCTAATAGCGATGAAGAAATTTTCATTTTGAATTGTTTAAAATTATTTTGTCAATAGAATATTATGATGGTAGAATGAATGAGTGAAAATTTGAGATTTCCCTTCTCATAGAAACAATTATAAACAAAGCAAAACGAAGAGAAATAAAGAAAAAAATTTGCAGAAGTTTTCTCAAATAAAAAAATGCAAAATTATGATTGTAACCTTTTTATAACTATAAAAAAACACATCAAATTAAATAAACAACACATTTATCATAACCAAGATCGTAAGGATTTATTTATTAGTTTTATAGAATAATTATTAATTACAGCTTTTTTAAATGAAATTCGAAAAAATTTTATCCATAATTATTTAGCACAAAAAGCAAATTTCAAGCAAAAAATATTCTTAGAAAAACAAAAGAGGAATGAAGGAGGTCATGACTTTTGATATGTATTCAAATTATCTTTCAATACTCCGCGTGGTGTACCATCATCATTAAATCTGACTCGACTTCGATTACCGTATGATGATGCTAATGATCCGGCATAAAGCTCTGAGTCATCCCGAAATTGTGGCGGATGCGTGCTAAATACTATAGTTCCCATTGGAATGCCAAATCCGCCTATAAAAGATAACAATTAATAATTAACTTACAATTCAAAATTGCAAATAAAAATTAATCTACTGGTAGCTGTAGAATTTTTGAAAAAATTACAGCATAATGGATAGAATCCGGTATCGTTTACGGACTCGTACAACTGCGGATTACGTCGTCGATGAAGCCAGCATCCATTACATAGAAGGCAACAGAAGAATGAACAAAGAATGCTGAGGATTATACTAATAATCAAACCAATGATAAGAAGTGTGTAATCAATCCTAAAATAAACTTTATTTCAAACTTTAGTCAAACATTAATAGTTGTAAATTTCAAAAAAAAAAAAATTAGCCATACTCAATTTGAATTATTTCTTTTCCCTAAAAAAATGTTGAAAATGCAATTTGACGCAAAAATTGATTTTTATACAAAATCGGCGTGGCGTATTTTCACGCTTATTTCTTCACGAGATTTATTCAATATAATTTTATCCAAATCTAATGAAATTTCAAAAATTTGTGTTTGTGTTTGAACATTCATAGCTTACTGAAAAGTATTGCCATAAGCAATGAAACGTTGTGGTCGATCGTGCCCTGAGATCGTCTTGCGATTTATATGATTGTCCTCCAAATTACAGCAGAAATAATCCTGAAAATCTATATTATTTGAAATAAAAATTTTAAGTATAAATTTTAGAAATATTTAACTTGACGAATCATATTTTCTCTAAGAATTTTTTGCCGTTTCAATCAAAAAATAAGAGTTTGCAAAATTTTTAATTTTTAGCTATTACTTAAATAATTGAAAAATTAAATTTATCAACGTGCATTACAATAATTTAGGTTCATTTCAATTTATTGTTTGATGAACTTATCGCTTTTCCTATTTATTTTCTATTAAACAGCACTGCTCAAATGAATTTCTTTAAAAGGCTTACTCAATAATTCAGAGAGATAGTTATCGTTGATCGTTTCAATGAATCTTTCTCAATCTATTCAAAAAGAAAGCCAACAGAAGAAATTTTTTGGCCTTAATATTTTTGTGAAAGCATGAAAAACTGTATCCATGTTACCTCAATAGTAGTGTCCGAACTTCTGCAACAAGCAAACGCGCACGTAAGAATTTCACCTCGTTTATTTGGCGGACATTTGACGGCTGCATAACAATTTGTCGTCAATGCAAAAAATGCGACTATAACTGGTTTAAGCATTCTGTAAGAGAAATTACTAATAAATAAGATGTTGAAGATTTGAAAATTGAAAAATAGATGCCAACTTGGTAAAAAGAACACTTACTAAAATCTAAATAAAATAGTCGAAGTATTAAAATTAAATCAATAGAATGGGTCCGCTGATGATTGTAAGTGTTGGGAGTGGTAGAAATAATGGAAGACATTTACCGTTTCCTTGTTTTCTATCTACTAATTGACAGTGAGTGTATGATTCATGTTTACTTGCTGAGAAAGAAATGCTGCAATACTAAAAAAAGTTTTGAGAAAAAATCAATAATAAAATTCAATTCCATAACCTTTAAAGGTTTCCTAATGATCTTATCAATTCATGACAATTTTTTTCCTTAAATCTTTCAATGCCAACTTCTCTTGTTAATTTTTAATATAGATTTTTCATCTTTGAATTTTTTAGCTTCTACCTTTTTTAGTAAATAATATTTATTGCATTAGACGATATCTTTCATATATTAGAATCTTGAAGATCGCTTAGCAAACAGATTTATTATTTTACTTCATTTTTAAAAAAATTTTTCAAAATTTTCAAAAATAACGCAAAAATGAATAGAATATTATTTAGAGAAAGAAAATGCTAATTAACTTAAAAATTTCTAATTTCTTATGCACACATTTCTTCATATAGTCCGATGATAATTGCCAGTTTTTAGATGATAACAGTAATCTTTTCCTAACAAACTAATCAACCATAAAGGTATATTTGTTGAATGCGTCACTTTCTATAACAATAAATTTAAGAGCAGGTCTAAGTGATAATGAAGGAGGTGGTAGAAAAAAGGGAATTGCTTGCAAATAAGAAGTGGTGTGCAGAAAATAAAATACAATTTATGAGAAGCAAGTTTTTGTGAGTCGTTTTAAAATCGATTGCTGAAAAGTATTGATGACAGTGTGTTTCGCTTTCGTTGAAACTAATTCATTTCATTTCTGTTAAATTTCTTTTACTTTTTTATAATCTATTTCATATCTTAGTTAATTTTTACATTTAATTAATAATTGATAATATATGTATTGATCATGAAATTGTTAATTTTTTCTAAGTCTACCAATAAATTAAATCTTTCATTTGTTGATTTAGTAGAAATTTAACTTAAATTTATCTGACAGAAATTTTGAGATTTTGCATTAGAATTTTAAATTATTGCTCGAATGATTTTTGTGAATATAATTGTAATTGCAATATTTGATTGGATTTTAAATTTGAAATAAAGTAAAAGATTTTCAAAAAGAAAAAATTATGAATCATTCTTTTATAATTAGAAGAATAATCTAATCAAATATGGGCTTATTTATTTAATAGAGAATTTTACTCTTTTTGATGTTGTAATGCAATTATCAGAAATTATGAAGAACAAGAATGACCAATTGATTGTTCCTCTTTATCGTTATTGATGGGGAGAATAATTTGAGACTATTAGTTCAGAGGAATGTAAATGGTATGATCGGATCGCTTCGTTTTAGAGCAATAAAACTGGAGTAAGCTTTTTTTTCAAGTTGAATGGTACTCGTTGTTTTTAGTAAATAATTTATTTTCTACATGAAAGTGATGATAAACAAAGAATTGCTTAATTATTTGATAATAATCATTGATGGTATTCTTTAGAATTATAGTCTTTGCGCTTCTTATCCACCACAATGTTGAGGCAATAAACAAAACAAATCATTTAACTGTGAATTTGAGACGAACGAATTCTTTTATAGCATAGGTGGAAAGAGCACAAAGACACTTTGATTATATAAATATTTTTATATTATAAAGTTATTTTGAATTTCCGGCAAAAAAATTTTTTTCACTCGAGAAATATTTACATCAATGTTTGATGGAATAATGTAAGTAATGAAGAGAATTAGATAGAAAACAAAAAGTAGGAACAGTGATATTAAGGAAAATCAATGTGATGAATAAAATATTTGAAAATAGATGTAAATTACAATTCTCTCTTATTTTCAAAATATCTTGAATGTCAAATATTCTTTAACAATTGTTTACCAATGGTTTATTTATCGAAAAGATATATTTGAATCTAAAAATGTGACAAAACGATGTCGGAAATATTTGCAATTTTAAAATGAATAAAAAGCACTATCATACGATCCGATAAAGAAATCATATTGCTTCGCTTTGAAAGTATCTGCTCAAATATATATTGATTTAAAGCTTTACTTAATATCTAATATGATAAGTTTTAGAAAAGCCATCAGTGAAGAAGTTAAACAATTGATATTGAATGAAATGAAATTGGCATAAGTTAATTCTTCCTTGGAAATGTTTTATTTTGCAACAAACAAAATGATATTTTGAATAATATCAATTAGTAACAAAATTTTATCTTTGGTAATCAATTTATATTATCACCGAAAAACACGGGTCATAAGAATGTTTCATATATGAAAGATAACAATAACCATATCATTGGATAATATTTCTCTTCCAACTTATTGACATCGTTCATAAAAATTTTTTTGGAACAATTTACGATTGTAATAAATATTTTGTCGCAATACTAATTGTTGCGAACAAAGTTTAAACAAATATTCAACAACTATTTTCAAAATTTGTTTATAAAAAAATGATTTGAAATGTATAAAGCGATCATATCTGGCCTGAATGATTTACCATATATTTCGACAATGCTAATTTACGACAAATATTAGTACCATTCACTTTGGTTAAAGATTATTTCAAGCACAAAAAAAGATTTACAAATAAGCAAAAATTATTATACAATTTTAATAAGAAATTAATTCCTATAATTAGCCATTAATAAAACAAATAATTTGGAAATTTTAAACTGAGTAACAATTAATTAAAAGTAAGAAAATAAGTGAAAAATTTAATTAATTAAAAAAAAAATTTGTCGATAAATTTGAACGATTCATTGATTTTTTGTTTCTCCGTTATACACTTTTCTCTTATTATTGTTTTGTCATTAAATCAATTATACAAAATGCAATAATCAATTCCGATTATATTAATGGGAAATGAAAACGCTTATAAATAGTAATAATTGCAATAATAATAATATTAATAATAATAACAATAATAATAATAGTAATAAAATTAGTTTCATTTCATTCTTAGAAAACGAAAAAATATTAGAGAATAAAGTAAACTGGCAAAAAATTAAAGAAGAAAAGAAATCAATGATCAGATAAAAAATAACATTTACAATAAAGTTTGAAATTGTTTGGTAAACAAATACCCGAATGATAAGATTGAAAGCTGTTATATGATAAAAGTGAACACTTCGGTTCAGTTAGACTAAATGACAAAGAAGTAATGAAGATTGAAATGAAAAAAAAATAAAAATTAAAACAATGGACTTCCCATATTCAACTAAACATTGAATTCACAAAACTAAAATATCGATCATCAGAAATGACTTTTCATTAAGAATTTACAGCAATTAAACACAAATAAATCCTTTACAAATTATTATTTATCGCATAATTCATTTTCCGGATAACAACAAGATTTATTATGGAAATGATAGCAGATAATTTTTAATGTGTTAAAAAGAGATTGCAGAATCAAAAAGATTTTTTAAGAAATGAAAAGGGAGTGATGAAATTACGGAATGAAGAAATTATAATTCATTCGTTTCCTTTTGATATCAAAATTTCTAACAGTGAATGTTCGCTGTTTTTTAAGTTGTGAAATTTGTTGCAAAAATTGCATCAATTGTTGTATGATCGGATCAGTATATTCATAGAGCCATTCATCAATTGTATTTTTTCGATAAATTGGTTGCATCAGAAATTCGATCCTTTTGGCCTGAGATAGAAGAAGACATTTTTAAGTTAAACGAATTTATATTTATAATTAAATTCAAAATTGTTTATAATGTCCTCTCTTCTTTTTTTCAACGCTAGAAATGAAATTATATCTCTCCAAAGTTACTTAATTATTGATTAAAAAAAATAGCATACCACATTGAGCATTTCATTAATATGCATTTCAATGATACTTTTCAACTGTACTAAGTACCACAGTTGAGTGTAACCATGGCGCACATTGAATTGACTAAGCCAACCTTTCACCTGGTTACTTTCAAAAACTTCATTTTTGATCACGCTGATATAATCACGTAAAGCATGAATAACGTTGAATAATTCAACACCTGCAATCTTTTCCCTATTAAAGAAGAGCACAAATGGCAAATGAATAATATAATCAAATCATTAAATCATCTTCTTCAGTTCAAATCAATCTAATTGATAATTGATATTATATCATTCATTAAAAACCTTTTCAGCACAATGCTCATACTATAATCATTCAGATCAGATAATAGTGATACTAATACTTCACAAACAGAATTAAAATACTACACTTTTCAAAAATATCAGTTATATTAAATTATTAAATATTAAATTAATTGTAATTAATTGTAATTAATTGTAAATATTAAATTAAAATATTAAATTAATTGTAAATAAAAAAATAAAAAAAATATTAAATTAATTGTAAATATTAAATTAATTGTAAAATGTAAAGAAAAGATGAAATTTCAAAGATATAACCCGGGAAATCGCAGGAATTAAATGAATGGATATGTTCGAGTGAGATCATTGATGAACAATTCAATGCCGCAGCAGTGGTATTAATTACTGATTGAGTAGAAAATCTATCACCTGCTTTTGCTAACTGCAAAAATTAACGTTAGCAAACAATGTTCATAATATATTTATTCAGATTGACAGAATTTAAATCGAAGGTTTCAATGACACATGGTTACTACAAATTTAAAGAGTTGGTTAAAATTTTTCTCACCAAATTATTCATTGAAAAATGATGTTAGTTAGAACAGTCTAATTACTTCTACCATTTATATGGAATTATAGATTGAATTAAACAAACTTCTAGGAAATTTTTACATGGAGTAAAAGAAATCTCGCACGCTTCAATTTTACTACAGTATCGCTTTAACTTAGTTTAAAATTTTAAGAATATATTCCACTGTACTTACCAATTGTTGTTAGTATAGTGTTTAAATCAGATCTTAAGTTTTAATAAATTTGAGTTAAAAATATTTTCGAAATGGAATATTTTTAACTTACTAAAAGATTTAAGATAGCGGATGGAAGTCCAACTGGAAGAAGTTCGCATAACACAGCAAAGTGATCGTATCGCTGCCAACCTGTTATGATCAAGCCGCGGAATGATTGAAATAGATCGCCATATAACTAAAGTTCAACCAAATATATTTACAAATATTGAAATTATTAATAGTTTTCTTTTACATTTTTCTTCTTTGCAAAAAATATTTGCATCGATTGTTGGCTGGTAATTTCATGCAACTTCAAAAATTAAATTTGAATTTAGGAAGATAAAAAGTTTTTAATTTAACAGAGTTATATGTCATTTTAAGAATAAGAAGGAAATAACAAAGCAAGAAATGAAGCTTTATGTGTTTGTAAATAATCATAGATTATTAGCAATAGCTACTGTAAGGAGGAGAATTAATTTAATTCCTAAGGATGAATTGGCAAGTTCGAATTAAACATTAAAAGCAAAAAATAACAAGGAAGATCTTTAATGCATTGCAATTTCGTCTCTTATTTTTACTCGAGAATAACAAACAGTGATCTCAAAATGAAAATATTGACAAAAAAGCCATCCAACGAGAATATGGCTGTCAGTAGTTTAACAAATCTTCACTATTTTCAAAGCTTTTTTTGACAAAGTGATCTATTGTTTTTTATCTTTTTTAAAAAAGATATTTCACCAAAGCAGTCTGTGTTACTTACATATCAGCTTATCACAAAACTTTGATCTCTCCGCTGTGACAATTTTTTTCACATGAGGCTTGTAATGCCATTCATCTCATATGCAATTTTAATATCATTATTTTACTGTATTAATTCGTAAGTATTAAAATGGATCTTTTTTTATCTTAGTTTAAATGCGTAATGAGAAGAGCGCATTCATTCACTGAATTTTATTATATCACTGATAAAACAATTTAGAAATTGGCATTGAATGATTCTTAGATTTCGAATTCCATCCAAATATTATTGCAATTTTGATTTAAAAAAAATGACTTACTTTTCGATGAATAATCCATTCCTTATTATTTCGATAATAATGCTTTAAATCCATAAACTCCGAGGATGGATTATTGGCTCCTTTATAAGCAGATGAGCCCCAAACTATTGGAAATTTTGAAGCGAGCAAATTCCATGTAAATTCTTACAAAATAAATTAGTTTTTAATTTAAAAAATAAATTAAAAAAATTGTTAGAATTTCATTTATATTATTTTTTAATAATTTCAACGAAAAGTTTATTAAAATATAACAAAGAATTTATCACTTTTTTTATCTATCATAAACTTAAATATCATACATATAAAACTGTTTGCACTTTAATTCATATTTGTTAAATTAATTTAATTTATATAAAAAGTATACCATTTTGTTGTTGCAGCGTTTCAGAATAATCCCAAACTACTACTTCTAGAAGTTCATCCAGGTGATATTCCTCAATCAATGTCATTTCAAACGATTTAATCATATCATACCATGCTAACACTCTAAAATTCATTCATTCATTCATTATAATTTCAAGTATTAATGGAAAAAAAGCAAAACGTTCTTATTGCTATTAAGAATAAATTGTAATAAATGAAATAATACAGTTTACCTAACATTTGGAATTAGCGTTTTGACATAATTTGCTATTTTTGCTAAATGCATTGCTGCAAGATTATCCTTTCCTTTATTTTTATTTACTTCCAACCATTGACGATCTTTTAAACATTCACCAAACTAAAAATATTGCAAAAAGTTTGGAAGAATATATAGCATTCAAAAGTTGTCAGTCACCTTATTTGGAAATGTCTGAAATGATTGTGTGACAATGAAAAGTGATAGTTTTGCAAATATAATATCTTTTAGATGTTTTAGACATTCTGAAATTAAAAACTCAAAAGAGAATATAGGATGAAGAAAAAGAATAACCTGAAAAGCTTCATCAGCACCAATGTGAAAATATGATATTCCGAATGATAGATGAAGTTGGACAACCTGTCGTATAGCTTCCAAAACTATTGAAACGCCATCATTATCTGCTAAACAGATAACCTGTAATTACTATAATGAATAAAATTATTTTTGTACTTCTCATTATGATCGGATTTTAAAAATGAAAATGAACTGAAAACAAAATTATATCAATTTAAATTACATTCAATTAATTAAATGTTAGTTGCACCTGTGGAAACATATCATTTTGTCGATATTTCCTAAATTTTTCCACTTTAAGAATCCATTCTAAATGTCCAAAAGTTGGCACGAGTGGTATGACATTAAGGTTGAGTGATTTAGCTGTTTTCAAAAGGTCACGAACTTCTTCTATCGTGTAAGCATCAGTATTACGATTCTCCGATAGAATACCGCTAAATGGAAATGTATCCTCCCATTCTATCAAAATTCCTAAAATGTTGTTAATCATAGCAAATATATTATCTCAATTTATCTAAGTCTAAAATTATTGCTTGAGAAACTTAGAAACTTTTGATGATCGTAAATGAAGAAACAAACCTCTTTGATAGTAAATCTGCAACTGAGAGAGCAAATAATGATCCTTTGGAATGGTTGAAATCATTTCAATAATTTCGCAAAAAAATGCCTAATATTTTTAGTGAAATAAATTAAGGACAAACCTGTAGCACCATTTGATTTTATAAGCCTTAATACTTCCTTCAAATATGAGATTTTTGGTGCAGCGCCTTTCAAATCAAAATGAATTATCCTGTTTGTGTAAAATGATTCCTGAAATTTTAAAGTGGAAGGTGAAAATCTTTCACAATTGGAATTTTAAGGAATGATAGTGGTGAGGAAACAAATTTCCATCTAAGGTGAAGGTAAGAATTTTAAGGTTTGCTTACACCATCTAAAACAATCAGCACCTTAAATTCGATTAAAAATAAGACGTAGCTCAATATGTGAACAAGTCGGTTTGCTTTCCAATTAAATAATTACAAATCGACTGACAGCAAAACTACAGCAAACTTCAAAGAAATTTCAATATTAAACTAATTCCGCTAAACTAAAAATTAGTAAGGATTGACGTTTTTGCAAAACGCAAAATTACAATTTTTCTAAAAGGATATACATCATTAGAAGCTTTAATGTGTTCATTCTGCACTTCATGTTGATCTTCCATTCCAACGGGTTTCAATGATTCCAACGGTTTAAGTGGTTTCGGTATTTTCCAATGTTTCGGCATGCGATTCTTATTTTTTTTTGCCAGCCGCTGGACATGTTTCTCCTACAAATTTCGAATAAATTTTTGCCTTTAAAGCATTTCAATCTCATGCAAATTGTAACTTCAAAATATATCGAAATCAAATCCTTTTTCGATCCATAAGTTAAGAAAGTAATTCGTACGAATTTGTGATATTTCTTAATTATGCATTGTTAACTCTTTCATTCAAATTTAATTCAAAGTCGCAATTACTTGAATTCATTATTTTTATGAAACAAAGAGGATGGTATCGTTTTGTTAAAATAATTTGAAAGTAACACAACCAACATTCCATTTTAATTTATGCAAATCTTTTGTTGTCACCGGTGAATGTCTGCCATCAAAAACTCGGGAATATTCTATGCGTACTTCCGCATCTTTCTAAATTTGCTTTTTCTTATTGTATATCGAATCCGATTATTTCTGCTTAATAATTTATTATTAATTTATTTTAATTAATTAAAGTTGAATAATTTCTGATACTATTTATTTTATATAACTTTTTCAACAAATTTAAAAAATATTGAATAATTAATTATAACCTTTGCTCGCTCCTTATAGTTAGGTAAGCCAAAAGTAATTTCAAGAACGATGAAACAGAATATAAGAATTAGGAATACTCGCATAATTACCACTCTCCACATTCTATATCTAAGCCATCGAAATCGTGTAATTGCGGACATATCCTGAAAGTTAATTATTTAAACAATTTCTAGAATTATATTCGGATGTACATAAGTATGTTAATAGTGAAGAAAAATACATTATCAACAAATCATTCAATCAACAACGAAACAAATTCGCAAATTCGGGCAAAATTCAAAAGCAAAAGTTATATATCTCTTCAGGGAAGTACAATGAAAATATCCCAAACAAAATTTTTTGGTATCAATCAATGGAATTATTACTTTATTTATTGTTATGCAAATTTTTTCAAATCCTCCGTCTGACTATTTCAAACTATGCGTCGTTTTAATGAAATTTATTTCGAATTGATTGCATTTTTTACTTTTTCTGATAATTTATTTCATCGAAATACTGAAATGTAACCATAAATGATATCGTTTTTTGAGTTTAATTAAGTATTTTAATTATTTGTAAAAAAATGAAATTTATGGAATGTAAAGATTTTTATCAAAAAATAATTAGCATAAATATACGCTATGGAAAGTGTAGAAAACGAAAAATCTTTTCCTTTCTACAAATTAAACAAATATATGTCGAAAATTGCAACAAATTAAAATGAATTCATTTATTGAAAAGATTTAATGATTTATGAGAGAAAAAGAAATAGAACAAAATATAATAGCAAAATGTTAAATTTAAAATTGTCATAAATTTCAAATGGATTTGTTTTTTTTGTAAGAGAATTTGAATGATTCATGAATGAATCATTCAAATATTATAATATTAAAAGCTTTGTTTAAAATATAAGTGAATTGATAAAATGAAGTGCTGAATAGAATGGGTAAAGCTGAGGAAGGTAATAGGTGGATGAACGCAATTGTACCAAATCGTCCACTCCTCATTGGTTGAGAATTCTTCACCTGTTGGTTCCATGATCGATAGTCAATAAAAATAAATGGATAATAATTCAATTTATAACATCGCTTTGATTAAATATAATTGATCAATGGATGAAATTAACGATAGACATGTTAGTGTTTGTATTATAATATTCACAATTTACTTATTCGTCATTCTCATTATTTAACAATTTTTCAAGAATAAAAAATATTAAAAAACAATATGAAATGAATAGACAAATGAATCAAATATCTTCTATTATTAACTGACCTCTGGAATGCTTACTTATATTCAAATCATTGCCCATTTATCTAAAATATGAAACAATAGAATTAAGATATTATAAGATGTTAAAAAAGTATTTCCCTATAATAAAAGTTCATTGATAATAATTTGAATAAGTAAGCTGCTTCATATTCTCGATAAATCATGATCGTATTGTTTCATATTTTAGATAAATGGGCAATGAATTCTTCTTTCAACAAAAACAAAACAAAGCAAATCTATCATTCATTGACCATTTTGTTGGTTGCAAATAATTCATATTTGTTTTGTTGATTGGAAGCATTTACTATTTTATATTTAATTTAGCACTTAAAAATAATATTTTGAATAAAAGTTTGCATTTTGTGATGCATAACAAAAATTACAACCAAATATTGAAATTAAAGAAATTTCCGACGCAAAGCAAATTGCAAATAAAAGGAACAATTCAACTGACAGACTGATAGATTTCACTTATCTCTTTGCCAAATATAATCTTTCGATGGCTTTTTCATCATCGAATAGAGTCCAATCAAAAAATGCATAACTACAGGGTTCAGGGTTCATTTTAAAAAACTTTACGAGTTACTGACTGGTTTGAATTTTATAATGCACAAAATAAAGCCTTTAAGGCTCCATTAAAGCTCAGATGTTGAAAAATTCAACAATAAATTTAATTGTGTTCAAAGCGTAATATACTGAAATAAATTCATTTATCTAAATTCTTCTTGCATAAAATGTCAACTTTTTCTCAACGTTCACCTCACTTCAACTAAAGCGCTAATAATCAACGATTCCTATCATCTCATTGAAGATCCTGTTTCCGTAATTACTTACTATTTTCCACTCATCCAATTTAAACTCATTTGTCCATTCATCCTTAATGCATTCTTCAAATCTGAAAATTTTCTGCATCATTCATCTCGAGTAACTCTTTCAACAATTTGAGACACTGTGCATTCACGAGTGATCCAACTCATTTATATGTTATCAATTGGAGATATTTTTAAGGTAAATAAAAGGAAGAAGAAAGAGAAGGGTGAAAAAATTCAATGCATGACATTATCGATGAAGAAAGATTGGATATTTAATTTTTCCATTTCTGCTCCATTCAACATTTACCGCTTCTTTCAGATTTTATTTTAAAATTTAAGAATTCTATAAGTAAATTTTAAATAAAGAAAATTTTATTTTGTTGAAAAGTTGCGTCAAAAGTCATCAATTTTTAGATACGTAAGTAATAGTGCGGGGAAGGAGAAGAAAAGTAATCGTTACAAATAAGGTCTTAATGGCGCAGTTAGTTGATAGAATCGTAATGAAAAGAAAGATTGAACAGGGATTGAAGTGATCTTTGAGAGAGATCAACGCATTATTTGTTGTGAATTATTCTTTTCCTTTCAATCATAAATTATGCATTATTTCATTCCATGAAAATTTCCATTAGTAAAATACAAAAAATCAATTTGAACTTTTGGATGGATACTTTTGATGTAATAATTCATCTGTTCAATCGCTTACTTTTTCACAAATGGTTAGAATAGTATTAATGATGGGTGGTAATTATAAAATGAACAAACTATTGTCGATATTCAAGTTTCATTTAAATAAATTAACTTATAGCTTGTTTAAATCCTGGAAATAAAAAGACTTGATGATTCATAGCTTTTTTCTTGTAAAGTATCTTTTTCCAATTATAATTTCATTAATTTCTTAAATGAAAAGAAATTGAGTGAACATCAAAGCAGAATGCTAAAAATACCTAATTAAAATTATTGATAAGTGGTATTGATCCTTCCTTCTTCACATTTGCCCTTCTTATCAATCTTCACAATTTTTATAATGAAAGCATAGCATTTTCATCCCTTCAAGGTTGAAGTCAAAAAAAGCATTTTAGCATTATATAACCTTGGCAGTTTTGTTTACATCCAACCCGTTCAAGAATCTTTTATTTACAGATTTCATACAAAACTAAAAATTTTATCAAAACAATTTTTGGAATGTAAATATGTATGTAATTATGTTTGCAAGTATGTATATCATAGTATGCATGCAAAAAATTGTTTAGTGAATAAATAATTTAAAGAAATTGTTTTTTAGTATTTTTTTTGATTATCATTTCTAAAATGATAAATTAACTTTGATCGATAAGAAATTTGAAAGATAAAAGGCAATTCTCATCTCATTGGCATTTCTTTTAAGAAATGAATTTTAGTGAAATTTATTATTTATCTTTAAATTTTAATCATTGAAATTGTCAGTCTAAAAAAAGCTACGAAAGGACAAAAAAGGCAAATTTCCAATAATGCCTTATATTTCTAATCATTCTTTGATTGAAAGAAAAAGTGCCTAAGCCAAGCCTTTATATTATCACTCATAGATTGGCTTATTGAAATCAAACGGTTTCATTTGAAATTGTTACGTTTTTGTTTACTTCCTGCAAAAAATGGATTAAAAAAAAGAGGAAAGATCAGTCAATAATATTAGTATTATTGATGAAAAATAAACGGATGAATCTATCCGTTTTAAGGAACCGGTTGTTGACAAATATTTTTTTTTGTAATAAATGGAAAGTGGCTGTCAAATGAAGCTAATGAGATGATAGTATAAGGTTTTGTTCAAGGACACAAATTTAAAAGAAATGTTTATTTCTTTAACTTCCGTTTCAATCTTCTCCTTAATCTATTTACCATTTTTTTTCAATTTATAAACTGATATTGATTGATTTAATTTTTTCATTTCAATTTATTTAATTCTCATCAGATTATATCAATTCACATTTGTTCACTTTCTCATTTCAAATCATAACAATTTTATGGCTCAGAAATCAATATAACAATAAAATATTATTATTCAAATGTATTGTTTCAATCGATAATAAAATGAAATAAATTATTATATTTAATTAAAAAAAGTTTTCATATAATAAGCAGTTTAATATTTACTGTTACTATGAAATTAAACTTCTCTTCTTCCCGCACTATCAATTAACATCAGCGTAAAATTAGGAAAAAGCGTTTTTAATTGTCAAAAATAACAATATCATAATAACTGTTAGCTGTAATTAATTATTAATATTAAATTTAAAGTTAAAATGGAAAAATGAGCATTGGTTGCAGATTGCATTGAAAAAACATTCGTGTGAAATGAAATACTGAAAAGAATTTTTGACAGCTTTTTTATCGCATCCAACTTAATCACTTAGGGAAACAAAAAGATTAAGAAAATGAGAACCAAACTCTTCCAACTGTTATCAACCGTTATCAAATTAATATTCGTTCGTTTAATTTTCTTGTATTATTTTTGTAATTCTTTAAATATTACCTGTTTTTGATCTATAATTAATTACCTTAATTCTTAAAAGAAAAAATACTTCCATCATCTTATCAATTCAGTGTTTCCATCTATTTGTCTTTTAATCTTTTTTATCAATCAATTCCTGCAATGCAACATTTTAAAAAAAAGATTTCAGCATCCCAAATGATATTTCATCAATGCAATAATATCAAATTACTGACTCTGTTGAAATTGATTGTTTTTACTTAAGTTTTTGAAAATTCTAAAATGGTTTAAATTAAAAAAGCTGCCATTGCTTTACATATAATAGTTTTACTTTTATTAATGCTTCATTTAATCTAATAAATTTTCATTGAAAAATTAAGAGAATTAATTTAAAGTGACCTTAAATTGGAGAAAAACAATAACGTATTGTTGTAATTCATTAATTATATTTTTTGACAGAAAAATTAAATGACAAAAAGAAATATTTTAGAGAATATTTTAATAATAAAAAACTTAACAACAATTTGACAATTTCATTTATTCGACAATTTAAAAAGTTTGGCTAACTTTGGAATTTTTGAATAAAAGAAGGAAATCAATGATTGAATATAAA